TATACCGGAACCATTTGCATGGTTGTCCCTTCATGAACTTGTAGTACTGATGGGGTACTTTGCTGTCAGTGGCAGTGTACCCATCAGTGACATAAATGGTACGCGAATGCCTCGTCGACTACCGATACAACTTTAATGAAAACACTGTAGTCATCAGATGTCATGGTGCAGTTTACTTTCCTTGGAGACGATACCGCAGTTTACGGTGAACTGTCTGTTGCTACCTTACTCCTGCACTTACCACACCATTTCCTCTTTTTAGGCGTATTCTGATCCCCGCCAGGAGTAAAACTACTTTGTCTCGTAATGAGGAATATTCCGAGTCATCTGTGGTAGCTATGGGTATCCTAGAAATAGGAGTGACCGTTTCTTTAGGAGACCGGCATTCTGCCCTACCTCTAATTGACTGTGGATACAGTTTAGGGTGTTGTTTCTAGGGTCATTGCTTCCCCTCGTAGTAGACTATGGCGTAATCCGCGTCAATGCCTCAGATCTACCATTTTGGACCGGTGGGGCAGTGTTATAAAAATGCATTTAGAAGTGGCAGAGAAAACCAAGACTGGATGCAGCAGAAGAATGAAGTGCATGAAGGAAAACAATTTATGTTGCCTTACCTTCAGACACTTGGTTCTCTTCACATGACCATTAAGTTTAACTGTGAGCCTCAGATGTGTATATAGAACCAGGAAAGATTTTTCCTAGGAATGATCTCCGAAGAGAACCGAAAGCTAAGGTAATTAAAACAACTAAGAACCAATGATGGGAGGTAGATCGGTTGGTTAAAAAGTAATAATATTGTTTTTCTTCTGCTAAGAGGTGTATTGTTGACCACGCGTTAGTCAAGTACATGTAACTAGAGGAGTATTGTAAAAGTCTGGTTTTGGTAGGTGGGATATTCCCAATGGGGAGAAATCTCAATTAGGAAAGCTATGAACAGTTCATGTCACTATTCAAAGCGGGCACACCGAGCATTAATTAGCATTACATACTTTCTCAGTACTTCCTCAGCAGCTAGACTCTACCACTACCTGTCAGTTTCCAAGGTCAAATGCCGCCTTTAGGTCAAGAAATATGACAAGTGCTGATCACTGGTAAGTGTGTATGTGTTTCAAAACCTGTTGATCGATTCACCCTCGTCCAGACCTGAAACCTGCCTGATTTTCTCGAATTTTTCGTTCTTGAGCTTCAGTCAGGGGTTGGATAACTATTGACTATAAGGTCTTGGATACCATGTTAAACCGATTCCCTTGTGGTTGTCACACAAAGATTTCTTTAGAGGCAGGAATGATTAACAATCTAGATCCGTCTGATGGGACTACCTCTGATTTCTATACCCTAGATAGCACTTCCACTACTTTAATCAGTAATTTTTTACTCTTATCCTTACATAATTCTGATGGCAAGCCGTCAGATCCTGGTGCTTTGCATCGTTTCATATATGAAACAGCCTTCCGAACTTCAAGGAAAATTGAAGAATTGACATCTGCCTCCCATTCTGGTTCAGGCTGAACGCTGGGCAAGTTGAAGCGTGTTTCAAAGTGTTCTGCCCAACGTCCTAGCCACCTGTCCTGAAAGTTTATAAGGATTCCATCAATTTCCTGTGATTTTCTCACTGACTATCGTCTTCTCGCCAGTATCCTTAATAATACTCGAGAATTAAATAATGCTGATGCTTTTCCATCTCTCTAGCTTTCGTCACCCACCACTCTTCACGATCATTGAGAAGACTTAGTAAATTTGTGTTTGAGCTGATTTCGCTCCTCATTGTAGTCAGAGTCAGCATGAATCAGTTCGAATGTCGTTGCGGAAATTCACTGGTTTCCCCAAACCTTTATTTTCAGACTACTGTCTCTATCACTGTTTCTACAGCAGACTAAATTTCGTCCCAGGTTTTATCAGGAAGACGGTGTCACATTCAGATAAATGCTTCTCTCTCTTCTCCCTAAATACACTTGACGTTCTAATCTTCCAGTCGATGATTTAGAGGTTTAACTACTGTCTTTTTCTTGCTATCAATAAGGTTCAAACATAAACTTGGCTTCAGTAATACGTAATCGGCTTCCAAGCACTACATCAGGAAAAACAGCAGTCTTCCACCGACCGTACCAACGATGGCCTCTTGCAATGTGATCCGTCTGTATTCATTATATACTTTCTTTCTGTGGACGCCAAATGAAAAAAATGTCCCTCCCTATCCTTGAAGTGTTAGCTAAAAACAAGTGATTTTCAGAGCAGAGTTGCATGAGACGATTATCGTTGTTGGTTCATTGGCATAGAATACCATGGATACCTCTGAGTTGCCTTTCCGATTAGCTCGAGTTTCCTACTCTAGCGTTGAATTTGCCTACTACTTTGACTATGGCTGAATGTTTTGTTTGATGCAGTAAGATTGACAACTTTTATTAGAGTTCATTCTTTTTATCGGTAGAAGCTTGGGCGGTGGATGGTCATCGATGAGTGTCACAATGTTTTCCAGTTCTTACAAATCCATTAAATTGGACAACTCGCAGACAGGTGTTAACTGGCTTCCAGTTGACAAGTGCACTTGCTGATCTGAAACTTTATGCTGTACCTACACCAACGAGTCCACGAGAGCTAAGCTGTGAGACATGGCTGTTAAAAGACGACGACATGAAGCACTTGTAGGGTTTTGATCATAGATGTCTTCGTAGCATTGTTTGCGTGTGGTGGAATCAGTGTATGAGCAATGTTGTGGTCAGGTGAAAGATACTAGGCAAGACAGGTAAGTCGATTGACGAGTTTGCGAACTTAAGTCGACTGAGATGGCTTGGACATGTTGCGCTTGCCGACCCATCGTCTACTTCGACTAGGCATGCTAGGGGAAAAGGTTCCGGGTGGCTAGACCAAGATCTGGCACCAGTCTTTGAGGTCTCTAACTGTTGGCCTGATCCATGTGGGAAGATGTAGACTTCCTGGTTGCAGTCACCGAGACGAAAGGAATCAATGGTGCAGGACACTTGGTGAAATGGCTGAAAGTTGGTCAGAATAGCGCAGATGTTTTCTTTTCCTGATATCTCCTAAAGCTTAAATATCCACACTAGCTCTTATATTCGGATTTTCTATTTTCTCTGTTAGGGATGCCGATATCCCTTATATTCCATACTTACAGTTTTGTATATATTTGAACTGTTTATTCGCGCTCTTTTCCCGCCCATGGGTCATATGTCGTATGACCTACTATTCTGATTGTCTGCTGCTTCTTTAAATGTACTAATGATCCCTTGTCTTTCAAGGTTATTGTAAACTCTATAAATAGGGTCAGTTTACACTCATAAACGCTTCAGTCCGAGATACTATAAACTCATCTGGTTTCCAGTCTTTCGATTTTTCTTTGCGAATCACTCGGGTTGCATCGTCTCAACCCTCTACTACCAATCGTTAAGTATCTCCGTTCGTTCTCACAACTCCGCATCATAACACTCTCACACTACTTTATCCACTTTGATATCACTCTTTTTCTATCCACCTGTTCTTGGTGTACTTCTGGGAAGTGTAGCAACGCGAGCCGATGCGCTTGTGTGCGAGGTTCGGCGTTGGTTTTATCAGACATCGAATCTCCAACACTCCTAAAGTTTAGCTAGCAAATTCAGCAAGTTGACCCGATGAAGCCAAGTGAATAACCACACTCGGATCTTGTATGTGTCTCTAAGGAACAAAACATACACCTATGATTCAGGATTCTGAGGTTTTAACAAAAAGTATCCGTTGTCAGATTTGGCATAGGGTGCGGACTTTGAAAGTTCCAGTGTGAAACGGGCATCGTTGTTTTGTGAGACGTAATAATAAGTTGATGGCTTAGAGCTTTTGCAGTGGTTGAAAGATGGGAAACTGAGGGAATTATGAAACGCCTAGCGTCGATATCAGCAAGTGAAGGCAAGGAGGGAGGTAAGGGTAAGGAAGGTAGGTTATGACTAGTTGGGTTTTGTTTACTGCTGGAAACTATACTACTTCCAAGTTGGCCACATAGTGTAAGTTGTTTCTGCAAGGTACCTGAAGAAGAAAAGGCGTTAGTTTTGCGTAACCGTAGAGCCCATGAGACGTCTGCTTGAAGTCGATCACAAGGAGTTTTGGGGGAATTGGAGGTTCAAGTTTGTTTGATGTTATTCTGGTTAGAAAAGCCATACCGCAAGCAGGAGGGGGTCCGCTATTTTAGAGGTCTACCTTTTCTAACCTCCCCCTTCCCATCGAGAAAGCAGCATCAACATTGTACTGCTGGTCATCTGTGGGAAGCACTACTGCTGTCACACTTCGTCCAACTAGTAGTGCGATTGACCCTTGAACTCCCCCCCATCATTGTGTAAACTGATGTTAGGTGAAAGGTAGTTGGTAGCGCAAATTATTCCGCGTTGCACCTGAGCTGCTATCATTTTAATAAGCACCAGACCAAACAATATACAGTTTCACATAAAGGTGGATCGGTTCAAGTTATCACAGCTGGTTACGACACTGGCGAAAATCACTAGCAGCTGGATGTCAAAATAAAGCAAAGAAATTCAGAAAAGATAATAAATTAATGGATACTTAGGAAGTCTTGGAATCCTGAGAACAGTAAAAGATGAAAACATCTGTATAATCGTGATATGCTGATAATATGCCACGGATCTCCAACCCATTGATTCACAGTGTCTCGAGAACCCTCAACAAGTAGCTTACAAAACAGTGGGCAATAATTTGTTGATTAAAGTTGTCTTCCTCTGACCACTCTTGATTAACTTATAACCAAATACCAACTAACCTGGTAGTGCATGTTGGTATGGATGGTGGCTTAGCGTTTTCAGTGTATGCGATCCTACAGCTTTATCGACTGCTCCACATTGATTGTCTGAAACTATGCACCGTATTTTAAAATCCTTATTACTTATATTTAAAGCTTCCGAAAGGTTATTATCCTAAAATTATTTGTTCTGCACATACTTGTGAAACTTTCTGTCTCAAGGCAGCATAATAATTATCAGTTTGTTCTTAATTTTCTTCCGTAGATTGGTGTGAATATTATTCCTGGCTCAGTAAAAATGTCTATTCAGCCTCAATCTGTGGACAGTTCAGATGACCATAAAAAAACCGATCTTGCTATTGTAAGTACACATCCATTGGAAATTCATTATACAAATAGAAATTACTGCCTACCATTGCTCGTGCAGTCAAATTGTCTCAAGAGTTTCCTGTGTCAGATACTCCTGCTTACATCTATTACAATGATTTTCCTCAATACAAAGCTGTCGCAGCTGGACAGTCCAGGAAAATCCTTTCGATGTAAATCTAAATTATATTTTCCTTAAAAGCTATCAGTCTACAGAATGTTATGGATATTTTAGACGCTAAGGCTAATGTCTTAGATGTTCCAGTGACCAAGAGCCTACAAGAAAAATTTACATCGATTGTTGACGCTAATGACCGAATACTTGAAAGACTGGTATTTTAATACTTATAATGAGTAATTTGTGATTTATGTGCCAATAGGCAATGGCTATGGACTTTGAAGAAGATCCTCAACGTAAAGAGTTCTTCATGAAAACAAGAGCAGAAGATTTGGTAGTTGCCGTCCATCGAAAAAATACAACATCTCTCGAATGGTTGAAGTCTAAAAATGTATGATCGTCACACATAGTATTAATATTATTTTAGTCATCAGAAGCTGATGCAGAAAAGATTGGTCTTTCTGAAAATTCACTGAAACTTTTATCCTCTAAACATATTGTCAGACCACAATCGTTTTTTTCAACGCCACCAGATAACTCGCGCTCACCGTTTCGACCCATAATAAAATCAAAGCCGAATTGCATCGTACCACTTTCGGGTAATTTTTCTCTAAAATGATGTTAATTTTTGCTTAAGAATCTTTATTCAAAGACGATGATGAGTCGGAAGAGTAAGTTTATATATCCCACTGACAATATGCCTACTTTTCAAGGTATCCCCATCCATATCAAGCAGAATTGAAAGCCTTTTCTAGCAGTGTACCAAGCTGGAATGCAATGCTATTAGAAGATTTTCCCACTAAACATATGGATGAATCATATCATTTTGTTGATAAATTAGATGCCCTTCAAGAAACTATAAAGTCTCTTTCAGCATGTAAATATATTGCAGTTGACTTGGAAGTAAGTTCATATTTTCCCCTCATATTTACTAGTATTTTTATTATTTGTTCTCTAAGCATGAGTGGTAGATGGGAAAAAATAAACGACGAAAAATGTAATTTATGATAATCAGATGAAATTCAAGTGTTGATAATTGACACCTTTTGGTTGTTTCAACTGTAGGAGGTGAATTCTGTTTTAAGTACATCAGTAATAGAGGTTTTACTGATGCAGAAACATGACCACAAAGTTAATATTTGCCTCAGGCTAGCATATTTCTATTTGTAGCATGTTGCCTGAAGTAACTGTCGTCATCTTCAACTCCTCAAAGATTAATCTGTTACCTGTAGTTCTTCTGACCAGTTCTCAGTACTCCAGGTACTGTTAGTCAAAAAGGTTGGCAAGATTTAGGCTTTCATGTCCTCTTTAAATTTCAGGTGATACTGTGGTACCGCTGTTTTCTGTACTTTGCCCATCTTTAATTTGCATCGGCCAAGTCAATCACATTATTTGTGAAATGTTGATGGATATCGAAAAGTTCCTGTGGTATTTTCCATCTTATTCTATCTATAATATTAGTGATATATATAGGGTTATCAAAAGACGGTGGTCATATTGTTTTGCAATCTATTTCGTATTATGCTGTAGCGATAAGACGTAACTATTAAACGTAGAAAACTTGAGGAAGCTAAGGTATTTTTATGTCTTCTTATCGCTTGGACCGTTGTTGAGGTTGAATTTGATTGCAACTTAATAATTGTCAGTATCTCATTGCATGTGTTTACAATAAAATTCTAAATTCAATGACTTCGAAGCGAAGTATTTTTGTTTGAGTTTCATGTACATATGATTGTTGATGATATATATGAGGTATCTCCTTTGAAATGTTAGAAAAAGAATGACTCATCTGTTCATGTTGTGACGCTTTACTGTCATGACGATCAACAAACTAGGCATCTTGCTTTTAATTAATTTTATGGGGAATTGAATAATTTCGAAAGGGATGCCATCATTAATCCATGACGAAAATCCTTTGAAACCACCCTGTAATGGTGAACATTTTTTCAACCGTATCCTACTACTTAATGTATGTGAGTAGCACGAATTAAAAGTCAAAAGTTTTGAGATTCAAACCATATTTCAGCACATGATTTTCACTCTTCCATTTTGATTTGTTTGTTTCTAGTAGTTTGTCAAATTTGAGACAGTTAACATAGTGTTTTGATTCAATCGTACTGATGGGTTTAAATATGTTTTGGGCAAAAAAATATAGGCAGAATTTCTCACTACAATTAGATTTGATGAAAGTGTTTATTTGAACTGGGTGATGATTGAAGATGAGATGAAAATCTGGACCGCGGCCGGAGTTTCATGCTACGTTCAATCATCACCCAGTACAAATACTAGTCTGCCAAACTATGGTTATCTTAGATGGTCAAGTCATAAAGTGTAATCTAGGAATCGCTCATTATTGAATAAAAAATGGCGATACGGAGATAGTGGCATCTAATGACACTTAAGTGGTAAACATTGGTGAAAGCTGTTGACTACGCTTTGATGTTTTTTTATCCAGTGTGTACACTTATCTTCATTCGAATGGCCCTACCAGAAATACAGTTAAAAGGCACTCATTTTAACTCGTGGATGGAAATCTATGGCTTACCGTAAGAACGCTTAGTGGTTCTTGGTGCAGAAAGGTAACACACATGTGGTTTGCATAAATTATGAAATCAATACATTAATGAATATTTCGAAAGTGTATTGAACATCGCAGCAAAAATTCTGAAGAATACAACACATTCTTTGAGGATAAGCATACAGACGTTTTCAGAGTTCATCAGGATAACTTTTGTGTATTTCTCGGGTTAACTGAATTCAAATTTTGTGATTCAACTGTCATCTTATCATTACTATGATCTGTAATTTCATTACAGCTTTCCTATGTATGTAATTAAAGTATTGTTTTCAAATTTACGTTTTCATAAATTAGTGATTGGTGTTAGTCCTACCTGAATATAATCACTAGATAGCCGCTTTAATTGAGAAAACTGTCTTGTTTTTTTGTAAATAACAGTTGGTTCTATATTTACGAATGATTAATACAAATAGCAAACTCACATCCGGAATTACGTAACAGCACGACAAGTAAATTATGATGAACAGTAGGCAAACGACGATTTCAACATTACTGACAGTCAGTCTACCCATTACACTGACTAATCAGACAACAGCAGACGACAGTCGATCAGAAGAAACTAGAACTAACGTATTAAATATACGTTACTTATGAGTAGTCAAGTCAATAACATTGAATAAATTTTTCAGTTGGTACCCTAGTTGTCTTAAATCTGCAATGTTATAATCTTGTTTAATACTCCGTTGATTATTTTTTACTGAATTCTTATCACTTTAGCACCATAACTATCGTACTTTCTTGGGGATTACATGTTTGATTCAAATTAGTACGTTGGATACTGATTATATCATTGATGCATTGACTCTACGAGATCATCTGTCAATATTGAATGAAGTATTCACCGACCCGAAAATAGTCAAGGTAAGAGATGTATTCAACTATCCGAAGTGTTCAAAACTTATTAATAATTTAATAATTCCCATTGTAACATTAAGAACAAGATATTCAGCGAAGAGACAAAGTACAGCTTGAAAATAAATTCGTTGAAAAGAGTCTCTTCGCTGAAAACTTATTAAACCTACCTCAACCTTAGCAACTGGTTAGTAGCATAAGCTCCTCATTCAGATTTGATTCGCAGTCTGGTGCGACATTGTATATATGTCCGTGTGCGTTGAAGCGATGCTTAATAATAAGTAATTTTTTGCTAACTAATTAAGTCAGTGTTCGAGAGTTTCTTGCTTCAACTAGTTCATTTGGCCCTAATTCGAAATCAGCTTCTATATTCGGTAATTACTGCGTGAAAATATTTATTTAACTTATCCCGATGTGTTTGTAGGTATGTTTGACTGCGGCTTAAATATTTTAGTTTACTCATCAAACGAATGGTTATTTATCTTTGCTTTTATTTTCGCCACAGTTATAACTTTTAAAATCTAATCAGAATTGTAGCCTAACCAAGCCTAAATATTTTGCATAAATTTCATTCCTTTCTCATTTTTAGTGTCCTTTCCGTTATATTGTCTCATTTTTAATCCTGAAAATAAATGAATACGAAATGCAGAAAGTTTGAATGACCTAAGTGCGAACTCTCGGCTAATATGTCTGAAATCGAACTTGTTCATTTGAGTGGGAATTTATGACTCATTCACAGGCATTATCGTATATTTGCACTTCTCATGTCTGAAGGTCATGCACTTTTAGTATTGCCCTTCACAAGTTTTGTTGGTTGCACTGCAATATTATTTCATCACACTCAGTTTATTTGCAGAATATTTGTTCACATCTAAAAGTTCATTCACATGATGAAATAGCATTTCGTTTGAGTTTCTCTTAGATTGAATTCAGTCAGAACTTAGAAAACACATGCAGGTGAATGACTGATAACAAAATGGATTTATACCATCTTGATTTCGTTGTAATATATGCTTTTCATTCTTTATCAAGCACCCACGTGTTTAACGCTTACTTCAGTGAATATATTAGTGATTCCATCTGAAGGTTTATGGGAATTTGCTGACTTTAGTGTAGTATTCATCATGGACTAATGTCAGGGTTGGATAACTATTGAAAACACAGGAGCACTGGACAGTTGTTTCGTCCTAGTATGTGACTTCTCAGCAGTGCATGCCCATCGCTCCGCCAAGGATCGAACCCGGAACCTTCAGGTATAGCATTCTACCAATGATCGACCGAGCTGGGATCCAATTGTTTACACTTCCCTACTCTACTTCCGTCAGTTCGCTATGTAGCGGGACCTCCATCCAATGTCGTTGGTGAGTACCCATCCTCACATCCTACTTGCTTTTCCCTACTGGTCACAATTTCTCACTAAAACTTCCCCAAACCATAGGAAGTTATTGCTTTCGCTAAATTTTCCTATTGAGCTTTCTTTTTTACTTCTGGTGATATTTTCTTCCCTATTTCCGTAGGTGTTTCATGGGTCCGATTCAGATTTGATGTGGTTACAACGGGATTTCGGTGTTTACGTAGTCAATTTATTCGATACAGGTTTGGCTGCTCGCCTATTACAATACTGTCGTTTCTCATTGAGTTACCTGTTACATCGGTTTGTTGGCGTACATCCGAATAAGAAATATCAATTAGCTGATTGGCGTATAAGGTGCAAGTCTTATTTAATCTGGTATATGTTGATTTGTACCGTATTTTATTCATAACTGTTTTACTATATATTCATGGATTCCCCTAACTGACTGCCTTGCGTAATCGTAAAACGGTTACATGGACATTAATCAAACTTGAAGTATTAGATAAGAGAAACATTTCAATGAACAAAGTCGTGAACCTGTTTTTGACGGATTTGGTAAGGAAATGTGCTGCACATTATTATTCACTATCCACGTTAACATATTGTTGCACGTGGAGTGGGATTGGATTCTAAAGAAAAACAAATACTTTTTATCTAAATCACATGGGTAACTGTTGGCTTCCTGGGTGGTATCCACAAGGCAGTCAAAATAGATAGTTAAAGGCTCTATGTATGTCTTGAAACAAGATGGATTTCAGAGGTACAAATCCTCTCGCTCATTTTTGTCCTAATATTATTGTTGTGCATCCTGATTTTAATTTTGCTCCATTATAATTTGTCTTATGTCTGTTTACAACTGCTGAGATCATGGTTATTATTTCTTTATCTTTCCTGTCACTGATATCAACGCATGTTCTGTGTTCTAGGGTGGAGCACCTAGAACCTATATATATGTTCTAGTCGAAAGGTTAGCGTAACCTTGAGGTCCATTTTGGCGAATAAAAGTGAAACCCAGGATGCGTGTTTCGTCCTATCTGAACTCATCAGCCGGACGCACCTGCACACCAATGGGTGATGCGCCCACTGGGACTCGAACCCAGTACCCACCGCCCCGGATGCCAAAGCGTTATCCACTTGGCGACTGGTGCATTGGGGTAGCCCCCTTGTGTAACGTATATCAGTTGTTGTTTATTGATATTTTTAATTGTAATTGTAAGTGTAACCTTAAAAATCATGTATATTTGTGCACGAATTGTGTTTGAGAATATATGAGTTCGTACTTAGTTTTAGAAGTCGACATATTCTGGCAAAATATCCAATCGTAAGCTAGAAAGAATTCCCCTGTCTGTATGACTTCATTTTACTAGTTGTATACAAATCGGTCGCCAGCTATTAATTGTTTCAGTGAACTTAATTGACAACAGATCAGAAAAACAACAACAATTAGTTTTGCTTATTCTAATGTAATCACATTACTTTTCGAGTTGTATCATCGTAGGTACCATTTTTGACTACTGACACCACTGAACACCGTAAGCAATGAATGTTTGATGGATTACGTGTTTTGTTGTTGCTGGTGTTGAACAACTGCCTTGTTATTTTAATTTCTCATGGTTGTACTTTTAATATTATCGTATGTGTAGTATGCGTCTCAGTGGCCAATGTACAGAAAAAAATGTGCTCCAGGTGTTATTTATGAGAACAGATCAGTGTGGTACATTGCATCACATTTCCTGTTTTACTATGATTAACAAATACTTAACTTCATCTTTCTTCTCATCTTTTCTACCATTGCTAAAGTCATTTCAATCCAGTTGGAATTAATATTTATAAATTTGAACAAGTGTATTTGCCAGCACATTTTACCAAATTTAGATCTGGGGTGTTATGCTGGTTTGCTCCAGCCACGGGTTCCAGCTCCGCTTCACCTACCGAGGTTTAGGCAGTCAGGTAGTATCATTAGCTCTCACATATTAGATGTGGCTCATTGCCTACTGGAGGGGTGTGCATAAGGCGACTGAGTGCATTATTACTCATTTTATTCCTTGATCGACAAGTGTAAGAAGAGAACCTCACTTGGTGTAGCATCAGGCAGACGATTCATATCAACAACTTCAAACTACTATCTACCTCAAAAGTTTCTTACTATCGAATAAACAACTATAATGTGTACTTTGCTGTGCAGTTTTTTCTGTGTCAACTTTGTTGTCGTTTACGGATTTATTCATCGATGGTTATTTGCATTCTTGGTGTAATATTCTGGTATTACGTATTAGATTAATTTGATATAAAACTGCACTGTTACCTTTATCATACTTATTATTTTACTGGGTTTGTAGTGTTTTTTGGTCATGGGTTTCAGTGATCGACTGGCTAGATGCTGCAAAAATCTAGCTGTTGCCAATTTACAGCCTAGATTGTCATTGGTTCCAGATGACCTTGACGGTGATACGGTTCTTGGTAGGAAGTGGCTGAAACAGAAATCAACTCATTAGTAACGTCACTGACTTCGACACTGGGTGACGCGAGTTTGAATCTCACAGGCTGCAGATACGCCTTGCTGACCGGTGTCAACAAGCTTGAAACCTAGGCCAAGTAGGGTTTTCTGTCGATTGCTTTCAACCGGTTAATAGAAAACAACTCTTTAAGTCGTTGAACAATGAGCTAGCAGTTTTTGAGCTTCATTTTTTTAATCTATACTTCTATGTAGTCAGGATGATCTTAGTATATATATTGACATTTCGTATATACGTGGCTAGGATGTATATGATGCATTTTTGCGTAGTAAGAATCTTTCTTGCAGTAGCAGGCTAACCCATCTGGCCTCTGATATTTCCTCAGCTCACTGAAACAGAAAACTGGTGGCAACCGTCCTTATTCCTGACCATTTCAGGCGGATTCGTTCTTCCACAATCCATTCAGTCAATTCGTTTGTGTCTTTTACACTTCTAATTACCGTTGGTGACGAAATTCATATGATTTTCTGAATTTCTGTATACTAATTTTTAAAAACACTTTCGTTTACACAAAATGACTTGATGGTTACTTAGCAATTGTCTAAAATTGCATTTCTTATTAATCTCTGCATTTACTTGTTATGTGGACAACATATATTATTTATTAGTCCCTTGGGTTCCTAGTGGAACATAGGGCTTCAGTAGCACGCCTCCAGTGACCTCTGTTCTCTGAGATCTTTTGAACCTGGTCCCACGACAGCCCACAAGCTCTCATTTCCTCCTCGCACGACCTCCTCCATGTCACCCTCTCGGACGTCCAACTCGTCGCTTCCCATGGGGATTCCACTCGAGGGCCTGACGCGTGATGTCCTCAGTCGGCCTTCTCAGTGCATGGCCAATCCATCTCCACTTCTTCCTGCATATTTGTTGCGTGATAGGTTCTTGGTTGGTTCGTTCCCAGAGTTCCTTGTTGCTTATTTTTTCTGGCCATCTGATCTTCAGCAGCGAGCGTAAGCAGTTGTTGATGAATGTCTGTAGTTTATTGGAAATACCTTTCGTGACGCGCCAAGTCTCTGAGCCATACAAGAGCACTGACTTGACGTTGGTGTTGAAAATCCGTATCTTGTTCCGCATGCTGAGTGCAGAAGATCTCCACACTGGTTTCAGGCTAATGAACGCCTGTCTTGCTTTTCCGATTCTGACTTTGACGTCCTCGTCCGTCCCGCCTGTAGTTGAAACAGTGCTTCCTAGATAAGTGAAGGAGGTTACTTCCTTTAAGTTTCTCCCGTTGACGGTGATTGGAGTTTGTTGTTGTTGTTGTTGATGGTGGTGGTGCGGTATCTTCATCACTTCTGTCTTCTCTATATTCACCTGAAGTCCCGTCTTCGCTGCCTCTTCTATCAACTTGTTAGTTTTTGCCTGCAGATCTTCAAGTTTATGTGACATTAGGCATAAGTCATCGGCGAAATCCAAGTCTTCTAGGTTCTTTTCCGTCGTCCAGTGTATCCCCCTCTTCTCGCTGCCTACTGTTTGCTGCATGATCCAGTCCACCACAATCAAGAATATCATGGGGGATAGTAGGCAACCTTGTTTCACTCCTGTCTTCACTTCAAAGGCATCACTGAGCTTCCCATTGTGGATTACTTGGCATGTAGCATCTTCATATAGTTGTTGAATGAGGCGGATAAAGGTTTGCGGTACTCCGTAGTATTGAAGCAGTTTCCAAATTACTTCTCGGTCGACGCTGTCAAAGGCCTTCTCAAAGTCGATGAAGTTGAGGTGGAGAGGTGATTGCCATTCTATGCTCTGTTCTATGATGATACGAAGCGTTGCAATTTGGTCTGCACATGATTTGTACTTCCTGAAGCCTGCCTGTTCCGGTCGTAGTTTTGAATCCAGTGCATCCCTTAGCCTCTCCAGGATGATGCGGCTTAATATTTTACTTGGGGTGGACAGGAGAGTGATTCCGCGCCAGTTCTTGCAAGCACTGAGGTCTCCCTTCTTCGGCAGTTTGACAAGGTAACCCTTCTTCCAATCGTCAGGTACCTTCTCTTCCTTCCACACCTTCTGCAATAGTGGTGTGAGCATGGCCGCTGTTGTCTCTGCATCTGTTTTCAGTGCTTCTGGCGGTATTCCATCTGGTCCTGCTGCTTTCCCGCATTTCAGTAGCTTTATGGCGTTCAGGACTTCCATTTTCGTTGGGGGATTAATGTTCACTTGTAGTTCAGCGGCTGCAGGTGGTATTTCTGGACGAAGTGCAGGTGGTGGTCGATTCAAGAGCTTCTTGAAGTGGTCGGCCCATCGTTTCCTCTGTTTCTCTTCTTTTGTAATTAAATTTCCTTCTTCATCTTTTATTGGTTTCATCTGTGTTGGTCTCTTCCCTGATAGCAACCTGGTTATTTGATACAATGTCGTCAGGTCTCTCTTACCTGCAGCCTGTTCTGCTTCACTTGCCAGTGTTTCGTAGAAGTGTCTTTTGTCTTTGCGTGCACTCTTCTTCACTTCTTTGTCCAGTGTTTTATACATTGTGCTCAGTTCCTCTTGTCGTTGAGCATCCTTGCACTGGTTTATCTTCTGCTTCACCATCCTCCTCTCCTCTATCAGCTTCCAGGTATCCGTCGAGATCCATTCCTTGTCTTCCACCTTCTTCCTTCCTAATACTGTTGTGCAGGTTTCTTTCCACATAGCTTTCAAAGACTTCCAGTGTTCTTCCACACAGGTTTCTTCAGGGATGTTCCTCGACGTCTCCCATTTTGTCTTGATGGCTGCCTTGAAGATCTCCTTTGTAGTTTCATCCTTCAGTTTCCGAGTGTTGTACTTGGGTTGAGGTCTATCACCAGCTTCCTTGAAGGCTTTTAACTTGATTTGGAAGGTTCCTTGCACTAGGTAGTGGTCTGAACCTACATCTGCTCCTCTTCTTGACCTTGTGTTAAGTAGACTGCGTCTCCATTTTCTTGAGATTGAGATAAAGTCGATTTGATTTTTAGTGTGTCCATCTGGTGAAATCCATGTCGCTTTGTGGATATCTTTGTGCCTGAACACACTGCCTCCAATCACCAAATCGTTGAATGCGCAGAATTCTGCAAACAATTCTCCATTCTCATTCATTTCACCTAGTGCCTCTCGACCCATGGTTAGTTCTCTTCCCGTGTTGTCCCCTCCCAGTTTGGCATTCATGTCGCCCATCAGAATTTTGATATCGCCAACTGACGTCTTGTCCAGTGTTGATTGAAGTTGTCTGTAGAAATCCTCCTTTTTCTCTTGCTCTGCATTATTTGTAGGTGCATAACATTGTATGATTGTGACCTTTCTTCCTTTTGAGTTGAATCTTGCTGTCATGATCCTGGAGGAGATTGGTTCCCACTGCATGAGAGCCTTCGATGCTCTTGAGGACATCATGATAGCCACTCCCTCAGTGTGCTCGTGGTTGGCGTCTGGGTGACCGGAGTAGATTGATTATTGATTCTCCAGTTGACAGTTTGGAGAGTCCACTCCCATTCCATCTGCTTTCGCAAATCCCAAGCACTTCGATGTTATACCTTCTCATCTCCTTTGCAATCTGGGCTGCCTTACTGGGTTCAAACATCGTGCGGACATTCCATGTCCCCACGTTTACTTTCGCTTTCATCGAGAGAAGACACATCGGCCAATTGGCTTCCCGAAGGCTTTCACCAACTGGCGTCATTTCGCCTCTCCGATTCCAGCGGGGAATAAGTTTGTTTTCATTTTTTATATTTTGTTTGTGCTTTGAAGTTTCTTTAGCGGTTAGATTTGTTTTACGGGGTAGGGTTGCTAGCCCTATGCCCAACCTTCCCTCTTTACCCGGGCTTAGGACCGGCTAGTAACTAGTAAACTAGTTAACCAGGCGAGGTTGGTGGACAACATATAGAAGACATTATTTATTCTTTTATTAAATAAGCTGATAGTACTAATTAGTTTCATGTTCTGAAGAAGGTGATACTCTAATCTGCAAACTTCGTGCAAATTCTCATTAAAATATTCATTAGTTTCTCTGCCTTTTTACAACACTGGATTAGTCTTTAGGGAGATCTCAGAAAAAGTGCCTTGGTAATCTGTATAGAAATCAAACTGATAGCGTATGTAACTTGGAGTGTAATGTTTTATAAAGATTTCAGTTCATTTCTTCTTACATAGTTCTGGAATCTATCTTAATTGTAATCAATAAGCGTTTAGACAATAAGATAATTCTTCCTTCACAAATACATATTCTCAGTGCCTAAATAGTTTTATAGTACGGCTTAGTATAACAGCTTTCAGGTGGACGCATACAAAGAGATTACAGGTTTTCATCCACATGGTATTTTCGCACCATTGCTAACGTATTGTGGAATCACCTCGTGCGCAATAGTGAAGGGCATTAGGGAAGGAAAGGAAACCAATCGATGAAGTTGTGAACATTCAGCGACTGAGGTGGCTTGGAAATGTGTTATGCAATACCGAGCCACTGATTGCTTTAACGTACGATCTTAGGCCAGGGTATGTTTGGTTTGCAAGATGACTCAAAGTAGTTAGACCAAAACGTGGTACAATTCGACGAAGTCTTTGATTGTTGGTCTGAGCCGTGTAGGGAGATGTAGAAAGTCTAGTTGGGGTCATCGTTAAAATAGGAACAAACGTTTGTAGACTCTTCGTGACTACGCTGAAAAGTGGCTACATTGATGCAGATATATTCAGTCGTTAAGGTCTTCCAAAGTTTGAACATTTTAACTCAGTTTTATTTTTCAAAGTCTTTCTCCTTCGATACACTTTAGTCTATTTTGCTATCACTCTTTCTATGTGCATTTGTTCCTTGTATGGTTATGGTATTGCGTAAAGGGTGGGAACTTGAACAGATGTGTTTGTGTGCGCAGTTCTACGTTGAACGCATGCAGAAAATCAGAATGATTTCAGCGTTCATACTGTATTGAAGAATTATTGTTCGTATATATGTCATTGACAATTCTAGATGATTTTTGACGTAGGTCATACCTTTGCAAAATATGCTCGTGTCATCCACGTACACTGCATAAAAATTGGCATTATGAATGCGTGGAAATAAGCTTTCTATGGCCACTTCCTCAGTCTCTCAGTTCATGTTTGAACAAGAGTGGGACAGTTTTTGTGCACTAGAAATTTTTATTTTCTGATCTTTTGATGCGTCAATAAAAGATTCTCAGTTTTCGTCAGAATATATCAAACAACATCGAAAATTTCTTGGGAATATTTGAACCAGTGAATGTAGAAATATCCTTAAGTCAGCGTACAACATACTGTGCTTTTGTATTACAGACATATATGTTATGTGTTAGGATATTTTCTTAAAAGGTGATAAAGCATTCAGTAATTTATTTGACTATTTTTTTGTATTCATAGACCGTTACCAGAAGAACTGGTTAAATATGCACGAACAGACACACATTATCTCTTACACATTGCAAGTCGGATGTGCCAAGAGTTACAAGACAGAGATTTACTGTCGATTGCTGTTGAACGGGCGAGACAATTATGTCTTAAAGTAGGTTGACTAAATCTGTTTCAGTCGTATTACTTAAATTTGTAGTTAACTTTAGTCTTTTAATACTAGTTTTATTTTAGCAAAATAAGCCATGACGTGAATTTCGTCCTGTTCTAGGTTCGCCAGGTAAATGTGCTTCTATTCATGTATCCACTGTTATACTTGATAAATTCCGGACTTTTAGCGTTCGACACCTTAAACGTTATCCGCTGGGTTGCAATGAGCATTCTGTGTGCGATGATTATTAGTGTTGTGACTTATCGTGTATCGTTATTGATTCGCTGTACAGAAATAACTGAACTTCATTGGCATGTTTATCTTTGCGTCGTGTCTTTCTATTAAAAAAAGAATATAAGCTATATATATGCTCAAGGTTAATTTTGTAGACGCATATTCTCGTGTACATTGCGCTTTCCTTTTAATTAAAATAAAAGAAAGATTAGCCAGTAGATAAGCATTAATATGCTTTCATTTCATTCAAATCCGATTATACAATAAGGAATAATAGATGAAAGCTTACCAGAGCAATATGCTTCAGTAAATATTAACTGTCTCATTATTCTACTTACTCATCTTTCAACTGCACTCCACATATTAAGCCTACGATGGTTGATTATAACATTAACATTGAGTCACTAATAAATTAGAAAACAGTCAAGAAACAAATAAACTCTGAACACATTCGTCACTTGTGTTCGGTCGATGGTAATAGTAAAAACTATGTATCTGTTTATGGGATTATTTGCCTCACTCGAAAATCGAATCGAAATACACACTCAGCAACCATCTGCACGTTTGTACAGTAGGCAATAAACCACAGCTATTGACTGAGAGTTACTGATACCACTTGGTTATCGAAGGCTTGGTAGGTGGTGCAGGATTCGAACCCGTGACTCAGTGGTCAGAAATTAAGTGCCTACAGTAGAAAAAAGCTCTACAATCTCCCGCCGTAATAACTAGGACTGGCCATAGGGCGTTTGATCTTCATGGAGTTTAATTTGGAGCCCCATACATGTCAAGAGTCTTAAAACATCCGAATTCCAGTGAATATGGACAGAGGTTTTGATAAGCAGAACATGAATACCCTGACCAATGAGTATCCATTCACCGCTGTGCATTGAGTTTACCCTCATCGAGTATCCACAGTTTTTTGGCTTTTTTCCACACATTGCATTTCGGTATTTCATACATTGATGTCAATGCCTTCTTCTTATTTTACATGCTTGTTACGTAGTGTTATACAAAGCCTGAATTCCGTCGACTTGGATACCTGGATTTGTATAGACAAACTGGCAGTAGTAGTTTCAGTCATCGTCAGCTGTACGCCTTGGAAAATCTGTATGCCTTACGAGATTCGATAGCTAGACGTGAAGATGAAAGCATTCAGTAAGTTTTACTTTTTAGTTTAATGGTATGTCATTTATAAGTGTGAAAACTACTGTATAACTGAAGTGCATAGCCAATAGATTGGATGTTTCATATGAAGGCTACTTGTAGAGAAGTCTTCTTAGTATTCTTGTGGCGTTAAAGACCCGTCCAATGGAAGTTCAAGTTAACGATGAAATTATGTTTTATCCTATTTTGCTTTCATTTTTTATTGCCCTACTATATAGCAGAATAATAGTCAATTTATCATAGTCGAAAATCATTCTAGCCACTTTTACTTTTACTAACCAACATTTGTAATGAAATTGAAGATTTCTCAATCATTTGTTTCATCTTACATATGTTTACAGTTATGTACTACCAAATCACATGTTGAAAGTAATCGCTGAAGTACTACCTCGTGAAAGCTCTGGTATATTTGCATGCTGTAACCCTATCCCACCACTGGTGCGTAAATATGTTCATGATCTGCACAAGATTGTACTGGATGCAAGAAATTTACCTATTACAGATCTGGTCAGTTCAATTATTTACTCTCTTTCAGTGTTGGTTTTTTTCGCTGAAACCTCACTTGGCTATTCTTTCTGTGTTATGATAACTATTCAAGAATCGAATGATTTTTTTGTTAATTCTTTTGTTTCTATAGCTTACTATTTCTTCAGATGCGTTATTTCTGCTGGGAATCCACACTGATCTCATCTAAAAATGAGGTGGGGGGAAGGAAAGTGTATGACCTAGGAGATTTCCAGCTGACTTTTAAAAGGCATATCACTTACCAGCATGATAGAGACATGTAACTTATTGGTTTGGATATTTTACTGTCACAGGTCCGACCGCTTCACTTTCTCAGGGATTGACAACCAGATAGTTGATTCAGTTTGCACCATAGACTACTGCGTGAACTTGTAAATGGTTGCTGGGTTATATTCCTCTGTGACTGCTGCGAATACTACTCCACTTTCTAAAACATCTTTTGGGTGATTAATCATTTTACAAAATACCACACCTCATATCGACTAAAATTATCTAGCCTTAACCGTGGACGACTGTAAAAGCCACCCTTACTGTGGTATTTTGGCTTGGAAAACAACTTTTCACAGAATACAGGAAAGTTATTGGTTGTTTCATCAGTTGATAGGGCGACCTTTAACGGCACGCCTTAACCACTGGGGTCACAGGTTTGGAACACGCTCCACCTATTTCAGTTTGAACAACCGAATCGTATCACCCATTCGAGACATGAAACTCAGTACACAAACCTATAGCCTATTAGTGAGTTACTAATGTGTTGGTTAATAAACTGTGTTAAAGCATGAAATAGTTTTACGCGCACGCATACAATAAAAGTGCACGTGTAAAAAGGATATTTCAACAAAACAGACCGATTATAATATGACTGAAAAAGTGCAAATAAACAGTCACTCAGAAAAATGTAGGTCAGACATATATGTAGTCACAAGGGCGCACTAAATACGTCTAAGACACAACCAACTGTTTTATTACCTAACCAGAAAACAAGGCAGGCTAGATCATAGTGAAATAATAAAGTCTAATTTAATTAAATATTTATGAGAAAGTTTAAAATATATTTATATGTATGTATGTATATAGTTCTGTGTATGACAGCATCAACGGCAGAACATTCAGAAGAATCTTGTTTTTTTTTTTACCAAAACAACGATGTCATCAAGCCTGGCGCTCACTCACTTTGAAGATACAGAAAACAACTATATCCATCATTTTTATGACCTTTACGATTAAAATTATTAGAACTGATACATTATTTTTACATAGTATTCATGTATCGAAGCTTTGGGTCACAAATTCCAAAACACATCCACTTAGACTACTAGTGGTATACAATTAAGCTTTGGTGAATATCTATCACACTTGCTGCTTGAAGCTATAATTTTTAACATTTCTGCGGAATTAAGGAATGAGCTGCGTGTAAAGTTACGAGCTGGCTCGTATTGATAGTCAGGAGTACTACCCCACTACATTAAGTGATATTGCTGATAAGGCTGTCATCCCATGATCAAAACTGTTTGAGTGCTGAGTACCTAAAACACGTAATCATACAGATGCATATAATGTGAACTACAGATTAGGATAAACTGTAATGTCAAAAAAGATTTTCAGCTATTAATGATTACCATCTCGACTACCCCAAGTTAACAACCGAATTTACCCTACACAGCTAAGTACAACAATCAAGAACTACACTGACTAGTACGTATCTTAGGCTTGCAGTATACGTATGGAAATGGTACACTTTCATAGAGCGTGATTCCATATTAAATTAGTTGGTTCAACATAGCACACAATGATAACACTCTGAGTACAATTTAATACTGTTTTTTCTAGCCTCTTCCAGTTGGCATAGTGCGTGAAGAACTGGGTATCTTGCTTGTTGGTGTTTATCAGATGTGCTTACCTGTGACCTTGTAAAGGCGTCTACTTGCTCAGAGATCTGAATCATTATCAAAGAAAATCAGTGTATGCCTTCTTTACTCATTTCTTTAAATCACATGAAATTTTGGTATGGAAATATTTTTAGCTCTAAAAAGTTACCAAGTACCAATTTACGTTTACTAGATTCCCCCTTGAAAGATAAATTAATCTCGTTTTATCTATCCCTTTATTTATTTTCTTGATATCTGTTCAATATTACGTAACAGCCCCTTACCTCCGACCAACTGGAAGCATCTGCACAACAAGATTCGAGACAACAAGATGACAGACGATCTTCTTTAAACATGTCAACAGTGGAAAACTTGAAATATGCTCTTCCCCATGACTATTCCCATAGTACGCAAGTGTTTGTAACAGATTTGAATAACGTTTCTAGTACAGAAATACCTCAAAATGGTGAGTTAATGTTTATTAGTACTAAGCTTTTTCGTTCCTCCTTATTATGCAGGGATGTATTCATAGTCCAGTTTACCCATAGTAATGACTTACTTGAACTGTTTAGGCTGATATATTTGCTTCTTAAAATCAGATGGGGAGCTGAAAGACCAATGTAGCTGACATCTAACCCGGGCCTGACTGTGTTCGAGTATATCCACACTGCTCAAGAACAGTCTGGATCTTTAGCAATACTTCAATTTCGTCATCAGCCCTAAAAATATCGCAGAAACTATTGCTACACAAAGCTCTTAATCGAGCTAGTTGGATAAAATCACATATCTGTAAAAAGGTGTTACGTTATATGCCTCAGACAGATGTAAATTAAGCCTTATAGCCACACTTTCAAGTCACTAAAGCCACTAAAACTAACTCATGTCCTTTACCAGGTATAACAAGAAAGAATAACCCTTCACAGTGAGATAGGCAGGGAAAGAACAATCACTATCACGCTTTTAACAACAATCAAGCCCCTTCTGATCGTCATTCTCCTTTATTTCTAAACTTTCTTTCACCACTAAACCTACCTCACCTTGACGTTCTTCAGCTTATGCATCCTGTTTTAGTGTTTTGTAACTGACAGACGGCATCATTTCTACTAAACTTGTACTCTGCTTCTTATATCAAATCGGTTAACAAGCTATATTGGTTGAAAATGCCAAACCTCGGATCATGGGAATGCGTCGTCCTTTCTAGGGTAAGCACAATGGAGCCAGATGTTTCTACCCTCTTTATCTCACCTGGCTGGTTTGGGGATTGTGTGTGCACTTCAAATATCTGAGAATTTGGTGTGTAGTTCTCACGACATTGGATAGAAATATGCGGTGTAGCTCGAGAGCAGGAAATACATTAGCTGACTGTAATACAGCTGATGACTATCTGTGCTGTGCCCCATTAAATCGATTCGTCACAAAAACACTAAAGTGGTGATATATACTGAAATTTCTTTGTAACTTCGTTTTCTGTCTCAGCAAACTGCTACCTAACCTTGAAAACGTTTAACGTGCTAGCATTACTGTTTCACCAAATGATCTTAGTTACAAATTGAAGAGATTTAATAGAGACATCCAGATGGTACTGTTGCCTTCCGAACCCAGAAAACCACTTGTTGCAAATATATCATGAAAACTACCTGCTCTTAGTGAGCATCGGCTTTATTAGCAGAAGTACAGCAGTCAAACATCATCTCACTTATGATGATCCCTGATTGTCCTAGTGTTAAAGAAAGAAGAGAGCCTCCATAATGGGATGAACCTGACTATTATAGTATCGAAGATTCTAGGTTCACCAATCATCTGTCACCTAACTGGAGTTTGAGAACAACAAATTTTGGAAAACCAACAAGGTCTCTAACTTGGCAGTAGATGTATCAACCAAATTTTCACCATTCACCAAATCTTGGAACACATACATACTAACTAGAGCCTGACGCTAACTTTATTTCTTGACCTGATAGCACCTCTCAGTTAAGTGTATGGTAAGTATATAAACTTACTGGTTATGTGCGTAAATATTGGTGGTAGTCTACAATTCCTGAACCTGGTGGAACCTGGTGTATACATTGCCCCATTGTATTACCTACTTGTAGAGGTTATACTTCTCATTTTACACGAATTAATATATAGATTCCCTAACCAACGTGGAGTATAGAAACGACAGTCCTGTTAGAAGACGCTAGCAGGTTGTACAGTCTTCTAAACCACTGTGAACGTAAAATACGATAATGTATGAAATATACTTCTCACATTCAAAATTTAGCTTTAGTTCCATAGTGTGAGTTTTCGTGGACCAGTGTATCGATAAGCAGTCTAGGTATCTTATTTTGTGATCATACTAGTGATTTCTACAGAGTATGTAAAGTGAAACTTCACCGTCAATTGTGAAAGCAGGTAGACGAATATAACTCAGTAATCATACGCATTTTCGTGCATCAGCCAACGAGTCACACCCATTCTGTCATGGTTTATGGTACTATATGTCTGCCTAGATCAATAAACCACACCTCCACTTGAGATCAGGCACACATTGACTGTATACAAGCATCTCACGACAAAAGCGCCCTCCATCCATTAATTTGTTATATATCAACAGAAAATGTCAAAGTTTTATTCACCTGTTTTTTCTTAAATCTACTTTTTTTATATTTTAGAGCAACCGTCAGTTTTTGCATCCGCTTTCTTATCCAAGAATTTTATCACACATTCTGTGATTATAGAACAGGTAATCGTATCGTAACTTTTGTCTAACATTCGTTGTATCAATTTTCTGCTCAGTAGCAAATTACTATATTTGTCTATCTCCCCTCCCTTTCTCCCTCTATTTATGAATCTAAGTTATCCAACGTTTAGATCCAGTTTAAATGTTTTATTCTGGACAGGAATTCTAAAGTATACCTACCATCAAACACCAATATCCTTTCATCACAAATTTATGCCAACTAGAATTTGAGCTCGAACAATAACACTCTTTGTTCGTTCTTACCCTCCGAGTGTTATTGTTTATCATTATATAGAACATTGTTATGATACAATCGTTTGTCTGAAAAGCTTACGTACTTAGGAAAGAGTACAAGCTTTATACCTTACTTTCATGGAGGCAATCCATGACGAATTCTTTCATCTACAGTCCTGTTAAGTTCCCCATCGGATTCTTCAGGGTGTTGTCTATTATTAGAATTGTTTGCGTGCAAATAGAAATAATGCCTATCTTTCATAACAACAAGTTCCTCCGCTGCTTTTATCGGGGTTTATGATGCAGCAACGGTAGTACCTCAGTAGGCATCGAGAAGAGGGGGATACGCTGGACTGCGGAAAAGAACCTAGAAGACTTGGATTTCGCCGATGACTTGTGCCTAATGTCACATAAACTTGAAGATCTGCAGGCAAAAACTAACAAGTTGACAGAAGAGGCAGCTAAGACGGGACTTCAGGTGAATATAGAGAAGACAGAAGTGATGAAGATACCGCACCACCACCATCAACAACAACAGCAACAAACTCCAATCACCGTCAACGGGAGAAACTTAAAGGAAGTAACCTCCTTCACTTATCTAGGAAGCACTGTTTCAACTACAGGCGGGACGGACGAGGACGTCAAAGTCAGAATCGGAAAAGCAAGACAGGCGTTCATTAGCCTGAAACCAGTGTGGAGATCTTCTGCACTCAGCATCTGGAACAAGATACGGATTTTCAACACCAACGTCAAGTCAGTGCTCTTGTATGGTTCAGAGACTTGGCACGTCACGAAAGGGATTTCCAATAAACTACAGACATTCATCAACAACTGCCGCCTACGCTAGCTCGCTACTGAAGATCAGATGGATTGCCAGAAAGAATAAGCAACAAGGAACTCTGGGAACGAACCAACCAAGAACCTATCACGCAACAAATATGCAGGAAGAAGTGGAGATGGATTGGCCATGCACTGAGAAGGCCGACTGAGGACATCACGCGTCAGGCCCTCGAGTGGAACCCCCATGGGAAGCGACGAGTTGGACGTCCGGAGTGAGGGTGACATGGAGGAGGTCGTGCGAGGAGGAAATGAGAGGTTGTGGGCTGTCGTGGGACCAGGTTCAAAAGATCTCAGAGAACAGAGGTCACTGGAGGCGTGCTACTGAAGCCCTATGTTCCACTAGGAACCCAAGGGACTAATAATAATATAACGGTAGTACCTATTTATAATACTTGGTAACAGGCAATTGTTTCTTCTGATCACCGAATTATCATTCCTTTTTCATCAATGTGCTTTACTGATTTCCAGGCATCATAAACAATGTGATACCCGGTCAACTGTAATTTGTTTTTTTCCTGTTTTTGATCTGAACTAAAGCATTTCCAAGTGGTGTGTCCATACTAGTAATATTGTTCCTCCTTGTTGAATCTTTTGTGCATTCATCGACCAAGATTTTACCAGGCAAATTGCTTCCCAGTGCCTGTGATACATCATGACCAATATTCGCGTCGAATGTCGTTGCATTCAACGTGGAACTGACACATTCTAAGTTTGTATTGAAATTTACAAAGCAATGTTAGGGTCATTAAGGAATCATATGAACAGCAGAGAGCTTGATTAGGAAATCTTTTTGAAATCCATCTTCAACACACCTTAAGCACTGAAACTGCTTCTTTTCTCGTTAAGTTGCACGTTTTCGTCGAATATTATTGATGACCTCAATCTCTCTAATGGAAGAAAGTTGTCTAGGGTTTGTATGCTTTCATTGTGATGCTTAATCGCACATATCTTTCACGTCAATAGTGTTTACTCCTTTCTTCGAAGTCTACCTCATAGTTTTCATATGTCTGTCTGCTAGCACGGTGATTTTCGCATAAGCAAATGTAGATCAAGCAGTAGTCTGACCTTGTTTATCTATTTCTGGACAAAAAAGGATTTTTGACGTTGAATAAACAAAAATAAAACAAGAACAGAATTGAAGAAAGGGGAAAAAGAGAGAGAAGAAGGCTGGAAATTCAGCTTATCGTACTGACCTGCTTTGTTGAAAGACTGAATGAAACACATCGATGTCCTATTTGTCTGACACAGGTTGTTTTAAATTGCTGCCAGTATACAGTTACGCATCGTTACCTCGTTTGTTGGTTAGTTTTCTGAACAGCTTTCTTGTATGTCTGTTTACTTGGTTGCTTGTATGTTTACTGACTTCTCATTGATGGTGATTCATCACATAGCGTTAGCTGTTTATTTCCATTTTCTTTGTGTTCTTCTATGGTTTACTTGTTTTCTTTTTGGCTGTATATTTTCGTCAGTCTGTCTTGATTGCTGTATTTTTGTACGGTCGTGACTCCCATTCGATGCATACCATGTCTGTTTCTATGATTTAAGTTATACTTTAATCATTCAAAAGTTCTCTGTTCATTTTGATTTGTCTCACATATTCATCTGAGTAGTATATCAAGCTGTAACGAGGTTCCTTGTGAAATAACTTGGGTGCCTAACTGCCGATTGAGATATGTATACACTAAGCTTTCATTTTAAAGAATCGCTTTTAACTACCACCCAGGATGTTAAGCCGTATGTCATGTCTTGATACTATTCAGCGTTTTCAGTGTATGCCGTTCATTCACTTGACGTTTCTCCAGTACTTTGTTCGAATAATGCGTTTAAGCGCGAACATCTAATGTTTATGAGAGAAGGAATTTTTTGAGATTGCATAGGACTGGTAATAGTTAAGTTAAAGCGATGATGGCTTCAATCACCAGTAACTCTGTGATCTGCAATGTTTCTAAGATACCTATTTCTAACCTTACTTGTGGTTATTACTGTTGGTACTAATGGTTAAATAATATATATATGTATATATATACCATTGCGATTGATTCTAAGCCATATCACCTAGAGTCTTCAAACGGTGGTTTCTCTCGTCTCGTGGACCCCAACCTAGAAGTCTGCATACTCCTGCACGACTCATACCAACAGTTAGACTTCAGTGACTGGATCTGTGATTCACTCTGGTCGCCCGTAACCTTTTTCCAGTCTAAATCTACTTTGGTTGACATTGCACGACAGGGCAGACAGTCACTGGACATGCATCGATAAAGGTTCACAACCAAATCAACTGACTTTCCTCTCCCCCCTAAAAATCCACATCTAACTTCTGTTACTGAATGACACCACGAAAATGGCCTATGCTACGAAGGCAACGGTGACCGAGTACCTGAAGCCTCTCTTATCATCTACCTTTAATGCTCATGTTTCACAGGCATATAGTAGAACAGAGCGAAATGCAGCATAGTAAACTCGGCCCTTAATAGACAACCGGATTTCGTGGCGGCGTCGTAAGTAGCGTGACTTAGCCAAAACCAATCGAACCTTTCGTATCCATGTGGAGATTTTGTCAGTCATTGACCAACCAACCAGGGCTAGTCCGACTTTCTAGGTAAGTGAAGTGATCAGCGAGGTCAACCCCTTTACTTCCTATTGTTAAACAGGAGGTCACTAAAAACCAGTTATGGAGCAATAATTTACATTTGGGTGGCGAGAAACCCATCCTTAAAGTACCATTCAAGGTGTCCGAATGACTCTATCTTGTGAGGGCGTTCATCCAACTGGACTATGTCATCTGCGTACTTGAGATTAAATAAGAAGTCTCCAGTTATAAGATGAATCCAGTGTAAAGTCACTCGACAAAAAAGACCTCCATATATACATCTGTGATAAAGTTGAATCAGAATGGAGAGAGTAGGCAACCTTGACGACCACAACTCGCTTGATAACTGACCACAGGTTCTGACACGTCCATAAGTGTTCGAGTTCAGAACCTTTAACTAAGCGAAGTACCTATTCGGTACCGCTCAAAATGACGCTCTCATAAGACCTCTCTATCGACGGTGTCGAATACCACCTTCAGGATGAGAAATAAACTCAGTGCTGGTCATTGGTAAGTGTACCTGTGTCCCAGAAGCTGGCAGAGTATGAATATCTGGTCGATACACCCACGACCAAGTTTAAAACCTGTCTAGTTTTCCCATGTTTGCTATCCTCGAGCTTCACTTAGGCGTTCACTGATTATAGAACCTAGGATCTTGAAGGCTATGCTCATCAGGCTGATTCCTGTGTATCTCTCTTAAGAGGACATCTCACTTTTCTTAGAAATTGGAATAAACAGCGACTGATACTAACAAAACACTGTCCAATTTCACGATCAAGTTGATAAACTCAATTGTTATACGGGTTGCAAAGTAAAAGAGGAAAAAAATTAGAATTTAAAGAAACAAACCCAGTTTGACACTAGTACCACCTATATTTAGCTTTCAGTGATGATACAAGGAGAAGGTGTGGCAGTGGAGTTTTTTCCTCTCTGTTGTTGTTCTTGCTGGCTGAATCGCGCGTTATGTTAGCAAAGATATGAAACAACCTTTTGTATATAGTTTCATTTTATAGTCTTTACAAACATAATACATGCTTTTTGCTGTGTAAATCTTAAGAATAAGTGTCAAGTCAAGTTGTCGTTCACATTACTTTTGGGTTCATATTCCTGTGACCTTATTTCTATCGGGGTAATATCGTATTTCACAAACACAGAATAATACTCACCTATCAACCATATCTATTGTGCTAAGGTTAGTGATACCACCTATTTGTCCAAAACGGGGTTTGAACTGCTATCGTATACTTTTATCTACGTATGTCTAAATATTCATAATATCACAATGGTCGGAGGCAAACTTTGGCTTTGGATATTTTCTTTATCTCATCGGTGAAGATGAAAAACGTCAGAAGAGAAACTTTCGCATTGTGACTAGGCTAATATCTCAACTGAATCAACTAATAACATGTTTAATTAGTTCGCTTTTTAGGTTAATCTATTATCCTAATTTTCATCATTGATTATGTTTTCTTTGTTTTTTTGATGTTTCACCATCCTGACAACTATATTTCATTATTGAAAATTTTATTTACTTTCTTTGACGTATAAATTGCACTAATGATTCGGTAACAACAACTATATTGTATTGTACACAAGTATTTAGTGATATTTCATTGCCTCTTTATCATATCCAATTTTACCTGCGGAATATTCTAAAAGAATCGATTGTTTTATACTTTTTATTCTGCATGTGTTTAGGAAAGCGAAGAAAAGAAACTGTTGAACGATGAATTTTTGGATCCAAATCACATTCTGTTAAAGAAGGTAATACCTTTATAAAGCGAAGTTGGTTTTGGTTGTCCTTTTACGAAGATCGTTGTGTATGCTTTTTTTTTGATAGATAAACGTTGCCTTTATCTTTCCTATCCGGTCAACAAAATATGACGTTGGTTTGTGAAAGCGATATCTTATTGTCTTACAACTGTTGCTTTTAAAGCTGTTATACTATTTTCTTAATGTTCACCACATCTTTCAATCTACAACCTGCACACAGCCGTTGAGAATATAATGGAAAATATTGGTTCCATTGTATTCTTCAAAACTATTTGTTCTTGCTTTAGTTGAACTGATGAATCGGACCAAATGTATAAAACTCATATACAGATAATCCATTCGTCAATGAATTATCGTTACGTACACGTATTCAACATACATTAGCGCTAGAGTTATGTTTTCACTCATATTCGGTATTCTCTAAGTTCTTGACTTCCCAAAAGAAAGTGAGTATAACTTCTCTTCCCTATTCCTCATATTCTATTTGTATGTACGACCACTGATTAAGTCACCAATAAATTTTTATTTCGTTATCCTATTTTTCTTTGAAAAAACAGCTGTTGGCGCTTCTTAAACTGCCATGCTCGCCGCTTGTTGTATCTGCTGACCAATCATCTGTAAATACACCTACTTCTGTTCAAAATGGTGCTTCACAGCAGTCAGAGATAATGGAAGACTCTGATATATTGAATACCAGTAAGTAATACAATACCATGGATTTTACTTCTGTTGATACATATTTTCAGTTCACAATCAGAGACAAAATGTATTTTCTTCTGATTATGCCTATATAGATGGGAAAGGAAGCCCTGTTAATAGTGAAAAGCTTTTACAGAAAAACCGTCAATTTCAATTTATCTAAAATGTTCAAAATCCAGGATGTTACATATATCCTCCCTGAAACCAATCATGAGAAGTATGATGGATTAATAGTTTCCAGTAGGACAAAAGTAACATTCACGAAAATTAAAATTCACTTTCATTCAGCTCAAATTTTTAATGCGTCATATCCAAAGCCACATCAATTACTCGTATAATTACCCATAAATTTGTGATATTGTAGTCATCGTTGGTCGAATGCGCGAAGAGTTCCATCTTTTTTTAGTTGTGATCTGATCTCTCTGTGATCAGAACAGAGAATCATTAGTGGAACAGTTGTTTCTCTTGGATTTGCGAAACGTACAATACACGACTTCACATCCTCTTCTCCTAATTTAACAGTCAAGTATCCCTATGGTCACTGTTACAACTGAGCAGTCAGTTGGGATTATCTTGACAACACCAACAAAACCAAAAGTCGTTATCAAAATTCAGTGGATTCCTAAATAGTTTGAGTCGTGTCCCTAATAAACGCTCCTTTCTCCCCCATAGCTACTGAAAATATGACACCGATAAAAAAATAAATGTCCTGATGATTACGGCTTAAAATTAATATTTGTAATTGTTGGAGATGGTTTCGTACTTAACAACAGCCTACTGGGAGCGATTGTCTACATTTTTAGCGCACCTCAGTTCCCTAATTAGCAGCATAAACACAGGAATATTATGTCGTTTTCCATAACTGATCTTTCTCAATTATTCTATTTTTGGTGCTGTTAAGATCCACGATATATATAACCATACAATGCTCCGACGCGATATGATTGACTATAGAACAATGACTTCTCAACTATATATTCAGCTGATCCCAGAAGGAGACGATGGGATTGAAAGTATAATGCTTCAACCAAATAATAATAGCTGAAAACTCAGTGGCTTATGTATCCTTAGGTGACCTTAGAGAAAGCAAAATAGCATATTAAAAGTGTGAAATGAACTAATAAGCGTCTAGTATTTTGAACTGCGGTAAAAATAAATGGCAGCATGGCGCAAAAAGGGCGCGAAAATAAGGTTTAATTTTCACAATAATAATATAAACATATTATAAGTTAGTTTTTCTTCAGGATTAAGCATACTTAACACGGGTATAATCTGACTGTTTAAAAGAGTGATTGTTAGAGATATATTTAGCCTAGCAAATCAATGCACCTCAAGATACGCCTCCGGTGAACTAAAGATGCATGCCTACTTTGGCTTTTAATAATAATAGCCTCTTTATTCCAAACAACATATGTGAAGCAGTGTGGAATTCTCAGCAGGTAATATTTTAACAAACTCGCTCTCTGTACAATATCTTTAAAAGAAATAATTATTGCATCTGAATAGTGTTAACAATAACGGAATTAATGGGACTAATGTGAAACGGGCAGCTGGTGTTGCATAAGCGTCTGATCTAGACTTGGAAATGAATACAAAATCGAGTGTAGTTCAATCAACTAGTACAAAAAATCTGGAATAGGAACAGTACTGTGCTGTATTTTTGTGTATTTAAAAGTTCATTTCTATCCGTCGTGACGTTTTTTCTTTGTTTCGTTCTTAGGCTTGAAAAACGACAGTTTGAAAACATTTTAAAAAAGGTGCGAGAGTACATGATACATTTAGAAGGCATATTTAAAAAGAGTAAAACAATTTGAAAGGAAAGAATTTGATTAGACATATTCGGTAGAAAAGTTTCTTTTTGTTTGTTTCGCTTACTGTGAAACTTACCACTATAAAGTGTACGAGTAAACTTCAGCAACCTCATATTGTCTACTTATAGTTTTGGCATTTCTCAGCTAGTAGAACGCGTTACCACGTTAGGTGTCCAACTTTACCCTGGAACTAAACTGTCACGGCAACTGCTTGCATGCTTACACACTACTGTCTAAGAACTAATGATATTAACTGGCTGCCCAAACCTTGGTAGGTTAGGTGGAACTAGAACATGTGACCCAATGATTGAAAACCATGTCCCTAAGCCAATATTAGCCGTATCTCCACTATACAACTGATAATATTCATAAGAATGTAGTGTAATTGAAAACCAACAAAATTTTTTATTCTCTTAGAAGTAAACCACCCGAGGATATTGTCTCTCTTTTACTGATAGGAAATGTAAACTCTATCACTTCTTTAAGTCATATTCCCCCCATACAAATCTAGTAGCGTTTCAGAATTGTTGTTGAGTCGCATGCTTTATCTTTCATGTCACACAATTTCTAGTAATCGCTATTGTTATTATTCTCCCTGCTGTATAGCTGAACATGTGATTAAATTGGATGTTGATTCAACTTCTGATGGATCCTTATTAAGCGACAACCAGTATTCAACAACTTCTAAAGCTCGACCATCCAACGAACTGAAAAGAACCCATCTTCATGAAACCATCTCTAAACCATCAGTCCATGATTACAGCAATGAAGACGTTATACTTTTGTGTAATGAGAAGGTAAGTGTGTCTATAGCCTCAGGTGAATTTATTCATTACCAGTATTTAAACAAACACATACACACTTTCACCCCATCCTATCCATTTCTACAGTTTCATTTAGATGAAAATGTGTTGGAAAATTACTGGTGAATTCTGCAACTTGGAGACTTGTTTTTTGTCTTCATTTACCTAGGCCAAGTATTTTTCACTAATTTAGCTGTTAGTTGTCGAATGTAGTGCCGCATCCACTGCACACACACGCACACCTACACTTTTTTATTGAGTTTAGTTTAACCTTACTAAGTGATTGTAGGTTTGAGTTGTTTTCTCGTAAAATGTTCAGTTATTTCGTGCTAGTTTTTGTTGTCTAGTTTTTTTCAAAAACTGTATTAAAGAAAAGAAGACTTAGTATTTATGTATTTGTTAGACGTACTACAAATGTCTGAAACTGGTTGAAGCTTTGCTTACTTATCTGTGAGCCACATTCACTACCCAACAGTAGATTCATATGTGTGACTACTACATAACCGGTATGAGTGAATGGGATACTGAGTGGAGTAATCTAGTTAGTAACTAAGATTCTTATGCCTAAACAACTGAAACTTGGTCGATTAACTAGATCCTAATTTCAGTTTAATTGTTGAGTTTCTTACCGATGTTATGAGAAGATACTATGCATAACCGTGTGCACTTCACAGAAGTTGCTTTCAACCATGTTATCTTGTCCTAATCCAGGAGAACTGGTTATGAATAGCGATTTATTGGCTGTATATAAGACTGTCTTGCTTTATAGTATTTTATATCATATAAATGTGATAATCAAAGTTTCAAGATGACCTGAACTTCAACGTTAATGTCGTTGCTATAATGCTTCAAAGTTTAGTGTTTCTTTTCACTAGGGGATCGCATGCATTGATTGACGTGATGTCATAGCGGGGTAGAAACATATATTAACTAATGAGTGACCTAAGAGCCTAAGAACAAAACTGAAATGGCCAATTATACTTCTTTATGATATGAAAATATGCCTTTGCAACCGAAATATAGAAATTTAATTGGTTATTTCAGTCGTTACTAGAGCGTTGACCCTTAGATGGACGACGTTAAAGGCCATCTTAGCAACAACTGAAATGATCAATTTTACTTCTCTATTTTATGAAAATCCTTTTTTCCAGCCTAAACGAAGAGACCTAAATGGTTGTGTCAATCGTTGCTAGAGTAGGCTTTAAAGTCACCCGCCTTAGAGTCATTCTCAGTTGTACAGCCCACTTTTTTGATGTTATTCAACCGACATCACATGATGTAAACTATCTTCAAGTTTTGAATTTCTGAAGTTATAACGCCTTGTATACATTTCTTTTTCGGATTCATTAAGCATATGCTAGCGCGAAAAGTATGAGTCATTGAAACATTTATAGTGGAGGTCGAATTGAACAGACATGCTGTGAATGGAGTGAAAAGTAACATTTGTGCCTGTATTGACATATTTTTTTCCTGTTGCTGTTGTCATTCAAATGTACGCCATTACAACATCACATGTCTAGACTACAGTAATGTGTATGAGTCAACACATTGCATTCAGATACATTTGTTTTTTAACATAAGGCGTTACCTTTATGAAGTAAGTACTTCTAGTCATTTTATGCTGATTGGTCATGAATGAATCTAAAAGGCACTCTAAAATAACTAATTAGCCTGATTTATAAAAACATTGTCGTTTCAACCAAAATATTGAAATCCTATTGGTTATTCTAATGCTTGCTGGGGTGGCCTCTAGAGTCACTTTCAAGTCGTGACTTTGCCAATCATGTAATACTAAATACCGCTTTGAAGACCTCTGATGCTAATGTCCTGCACTGATCACAATACTACTGAATAAAGAAATCAACGTAGTGTTTGTCGCTGTAGTTCTTTCACCTTAGGAAAAGTTTTTTCTTACTCTATTTCTCTGACTTGGCACTACAAAAGAAAACAAGCTTTTGAGTAAAAATTGCAAGAACTATAAAACTAGTATCCACCTATATGAATAAAGTTGTATATAACGAACCTGTTACTCAGCTCCCACTGATAGTACTAAAATTATGCTTTACTGGTGGAAGATTTCCTTAAGCAGTTACAAAACTGACATAAGTAGAAAATCATCTATGTACACTGTACTGATTTCGAATAAGATAGCCGTCGTATAACACAACAGTTTGTAAGAATGCTGTAATACAGAAAAGGGGACTATTACACCACATATGATAGGTTCGCAATATTTGGAAATAACTACAATATATCCATTTGATAACTGAGAATTACTCACGAAATGTGCTGATATATTATAACATCCACTAACTAACCTATTTAATAGATCGTTCGCAGAAAACGCCGTGCCACGTGCGTGGAAAGATAAGATAATCCTAGTACTTAAGTCAGTGACTTCAGCGGCATGTTTGAAATTCTGTTCGATTGCAGTTACTTCTCTGTTCTTTTAAATAGTGAAGAAGCTAATAATACTTGTGCTTGAACCCTCTATGAAGGTTTTTCGAGATCCTAATCAATTTGCATACAAAGGAAAAAGAAGCACTGTGGATGCCGCTACTGTCTTATATCACGATATTAATTTTAATTGCATTTGAAATGCCAAGTATGCCAAGACTATATTTCAACATTTGATCCTACCCCAAAACCTCTTTTGGTAGAGTAGCTAGCCTGAATAGATACTGAGTCCTGGATAATCAGCTAGCGGTATTCCTATTTTTCTGAAAGGAAGAAATTTACTGTTCACACAGGGAAGCACTGCACGTCATTGGTTACTGAGGTTGGTGTTCCACAGGTTACCGGTCTTTTCTTTCTCTGCATGGCTGACCATCTTCAGCTAGCACCAATTCCATCGAACATATTGATGGTCTGACAGTTTCCATACTTGTCTCTTCTTCAACAGATTGTTCCCAACTGAACGATTTCCTATCTATTGTTAGGCGATGGTTCTCCATGAATGGTTTTATGCTTAATTCTTCAAAACGTTTCAGATGCAAATATAACCTACGTGAACTGCTTAAGTCCTATGATTCCTATTCTATTGATGACCGTGTTTGGTGAATGTTACAGGTGGGATTTATCTGTGTGTTTTTCTCCAAACCTTTCTTGGCCCTCTCACATCTTAGTAATTTCTAAAAGAATCTTCCGCTTGACACACTACATTAGGAAGCTGAGAGTATCTGGTATAACTCAGCCTCTTCTCTTGTGTTTTATAAACTCTTGCATCCTCCTCTATTCTTCTCCTTTACTCCTTCCTGGGTTGCTGAAAAAAGACTACGCTGTATTGCCCAGAGCTTTGAAGATTGTCAGCAGAACTAGTGGTATACCCCTAAACGTTTTAATTAAAACAGTTGTGGACAAATATATTAACCCATGTAAACATCTGACAGGAGTTGTTTTAACAGATGGCCAGCATTCTCTTCACTTAAAACTCTCTACGTATGGGTCCTCAGGCGAAGCCAGGAGCATGTATATGAGACGTTATGCACTTACCAATAATTATAAAAACTGCCATATCATGTTTAGCTCGTATTAGTATTAAAAACGAACTAACTAACGAACTTTTGTTTTTGAAAGCAAACTAATTAAAGACTATACAGCTTGCTATTATTTATGTATTATGATTACAATTGCTAGTGTGACTGTTTACCCAAGTTAACTTTGGATTTTGAAGAACGTTGTAAATGGAGTAAATATTCTTATCTTTTATATATAATTTCAACTTACTGCATTTTATTATGTATACGTATACACTGTTCCTGTCCAATTGATGCTCTTTGACAACCTGCACAGTATTCCCGAAATATCTTTCAAAACGAAGCCATTCCTATTATTATTTTGAAAAAAACATATTTATTATCGAACAAAGGTTCAAGTATTCCATAATGTCTTTATCTTCATCATCAAGCAAGTGTAATTTTTTGCTAGCTGAATATCTCCCACCTTTTGAGACTTTCGTTTATCAGCGCAATGAGTTCTATTCCTTATCTCCTACAAACAACCTGTTATTTTGACAGAGGTTTTTATAATTTTTGTCCTTTTTTTGAATTTCTTTCATTTGTGGTAATGCAAAATAAGTTTGCAGAGATTTCGTGTTATATGAAGGCTTTTTGTGTATTTTAAAACATTATGTTTGTTTTTCCTGTTGATATGTGAGCAATAAGTCTGAAGCTCTTTGGTTTAGGTAATCGACGTACAAACGATGGGTTCCGAGGTTCAAACTTGCTTCATCCTATTTGGTTTGGACAGTTGAGTAGTATCTTATCATAAGCCCTCGCACATTACCTATGTCTGATAACCTAGTATATAAACCCTTGTCAAGTCGATTGTCATTGTCAATTGCATCTACATATGTGTAGAAATGTGTGCAACGAATTATGCGTAAGGTGTCTCATTGTGATGTTGAACGGTGTGTGTTTGACTGTCCTACGCACTATTAATATCCTCGATACTGCAGGTATATTGTGTTGGTGAGAGTGCATTGCATGAAGCTTATAAGAATAGTTCTCTTAAAGAGATTATATGCTTTATGTATACGCGCAGGAGAACAGTACAATATTTTTCTAGTTTCTATGCATAATGTAAGTATTGTACATTGGTTGATTTATACAAATGTAAGAAACCTCATCAAATAAAGTACATTTATGTCTTACGATGATTTTTTTTCTCCTAGGTAAATGCAAAGGCTAAGAAACGCAGAAAAACTCAAGAAAAAAACAACTCAGTAATACAATCCGACGATAATAGTGTTACTAACCCTGAATTAGGAGATGATATATGCACTTCAGTTAAATGTGAACCAACTCCTGAATCGTTAGAAGGTTTGTCTTTGATTTGAATGATTTCCTGATGAGTATTTCAAATACATATATTCGTTCCATTTCATTGTAGAGCACCTAGCCAGAAACTTGGTAGTCTCTGGTTCGAATCCTGCCACAGCCCAAATTTTCATTTCACCTTCAATCATCATCCATTACTTAAAATTCTACAGAGATTATTTTATACCAGTTTTTCAGTATCCATCGGTTCAGTTTCATCAAAATCACCTCCGAAAAGTACTTAAACAGTGGTCGCTTAGAGAGAATAAATTGATAAACTTTGATCCAGAAAGTGATGTTTTTCATGCCGAATGTTAGATGATATAGGTGATATGTTCCACTCCTACTGTACATGTAGGCAATTAGTTACTAAATTACGAGGAAGTGCATATAATTCTTGACTGCATTAATCCTTTAATATATAAATGGTCTTAAATTTATGAAGTATCTTTGAATGTCTTTCAATTCAGTAGTAATTCAAGTAATATACTAATCACATCTGGAAAGGATAACATGAAAGATTGAATAAAACTGCACTGGTTTTCGTTTACCATATTTAGCAACAGAAAAAGAACTGATATATATATATATATATATATATATATATATATATATATATATAAGTAGGTGAGAGTCATACAACACGAGAAGATAAATATGTAACGATTAATAGAATGTTGGAAGTTTTTAAGGTAAACAGGACATGCATCTCTAGTGTGTTCAGTTTTGAGGTACTGTTAGTACTGCAAGTGGACAGGAACAAAAACAGGGAATTCGTAAAAGCACTTCTATTACATTATCTTATATCCAATTTCTTAAATCTGTCAGTGGTCTGTGATAACCTGAGGACTCCAGTCAGGGGACCTCCACTTCCCTTCACATTCCAAACAAACTGTAATTGACTTCATCGAATGGTATCATATCTTGGCTTGGCTTGGCTGCTTTTAACTTTTTTCTAACCTAATCTCACTTCAATAAATATTGTATATCAGGAATGCAAATGCGGTAAAAAAAAGTTCTGAACTTTTTTCTCAGACAAGAATTGACTTGAATGTATTTTGGTCTTAATTTAAGGCTTGTTTTGGAAATTGTTGATTCGTACCAATGAAACAGTAGTTTAGACAATGTGAACCTTTCCATATAAAATTGTCAACGTGTTCAAGTTTGACTGGATCAGTTTTGACCCGGGCAACCTGGTAGTGTCATGAGAGCCGAGCCATCAGCAATTCAGAATAAATTTGATAAGACGAAATTCAGGGTAGATTTGCTTTCACTTAGTCTAATGGTGGTCAGGGGGAAACACGTATCTATTTATAACCCTTCCAGAAGTGAACTTGAAGATGCACAGCCGAAAATGAACGTTTATAGTCACTTTGGGAACTTCGTTCATGGTTAGGAAATCGATCACCACTCTATCTATCAAGGTCTGGACAGCCAGGTAGTATCAATAACTCTCATACAATAGGTGTGGTTCATTGGCTGCTACACTAGCGTGCACGTGGTTGCTGAATGAATTCTGATTTAATAATAATAATAATAATAATAATCGGTTTACTCTAGACAAAATGTTTTATACAGTGTGGAATACTCAGCAAGTTCACTACCAGAACAATATACTTCGACGAAATGATTACTACATCTGAGTGATGTTAATAATACCATCATTAAAGACAATAATGTTAAACAGCTAGCTGGTGTTGGATTAGCTTCCGTTCTAGAATAGAAGGTGTACAGAAGATCAAACGTAAGTTTGGCTGGGACTGTTCACTCAGCCAATAAACTAATCCGCCATTCGAGCTAATCTTCCGAGGAGTGGAAATCTGATGGATTTTTCCGCAACGAAAGATTTATTTCCATCGAACCTGACATTTTTCTCTTCGTTTTGTTATCGACTCGAGAAACGATTAGTTGGAGACATTGTTAAACTGTTCAAGAGTACCTTGCATGCTTTGAAGATATAGTTAAATAATTAAAACAAATTGAAGCCAAGGAATTTGATGTATGTGTTTTGTATGATCATTAGTTGTGACATAATACTGAGTACAGTATATAACCTGGTTTTCGAATTTGTTGGTAGTTACTGCATAGTTCCAAACAGCTGGATAGTAAGCCTTTAATTTTGTCTATAGGTGCGTATGGAATTTTGGATGATGCCTTTATCATATCTATCTATTAAGTCGTGTGAAAACTGATTGCTTAAAAATTTCCTCTTTTCATTCAAAAAGAATCTACTACTGATTGTTCATTCACTAAACCATCTCATTCTTCAACACGTGGTTCTGGTAAGAAAAACAAATCGAAGTTTCGGGAGTTTCGTGTAGTAAGTTTTAGTTGTTTTTCTCATATGTTCCTCTTGTGTTATCGTTTTTCTGTCCATATATTTTTGTATACTGTTGGGAAACGAGACAACTTGAAGTGATGCACTTTTGTATAAGGTTCTGCACTGATTTGTTCGTTTATCTATCTGTATGCATATAACTGAACATTCTATATTCGATAGTTTATTTGGTATATCATACAGTATAATTTACTGGATGACGTTTTGTGCAGAATTTATTTCTCATATTCATATCGAAGTAATCATACAACTTTCAAACTTCCTTTATATAGTCCAACAGTTCATTCATTCTTTTATTGTAATGATAGTAAAATTTTCCATATATATATCTGCAGTATGTGATGATTAGTTATTCCTGTTACATTTGTTAGGTGTTGATTCAGTGAACAATAATTCTGTGATCAATCTCTTCCTAAAATACAATATACCTAGGTGGAGGGTGAGGTTGATCACAGAATCCTTTTGTTTATTGAATCAACACCTAGCACATGTAACAGAAATGACTCATCACATATTGCAGATATCTGGAAAACTTTACTACTATTAAAATAAAAGAATGAACGAACTGTTTGACTATATAAAAGAAGTTTGAAAGTTGTATGATTACTTCGATATGAACATGAGCAATAAATCCTGATTGAAACGTGATCCAGTAAATTATACTGTATGCTATATCAAATAAACAATTTGATGTGGAATTGTACCCTACTACAGTGCCTAATTTTCACTCTTACATAACTGAACATCTTTCGGAATACTAAAGTCATCTAGACACGCTTATATGTGGTTGAGTCAACACTCAAAATAATCGTAATATACATTACTGCATGTTGTGAATAAATGGAGTATCTTTTTAACTAGTTGACTCTGAAATGGCTGTTTTAATGCTTCTTAATCCAAGCACACTTCAGCTACTGGTAGCATAGTATGAAGGAGCAATTCAGTTTGCGATATGAGTGTTTTCATAAATCTATCTGTTGTCAGTTCATGGAACTGCTAAGATACCCCAAGATTAGCCCTAAAAGTTTATTTTCCCATAAATTCGAACTTAACGTCTTTTTGCTTATTTTACGCCATGGTCAGTAAACTAGTTTCCGCACATTTTTCAAAGCTGCGTTTTTACTGGTTGGTCATAATTTCAATTTGACAGTGTTCTTAATTTTGGACAATGTTGACATTTCTGTCTGTATACAAACATATTCTCACACATATCATCGAGACAATGAAAACTGTGCATTCCAATCTGTGCATACTTCTCTTCTTTTCTGTGTTCCTTTCCTGGCGTTTAAGTTGTTTATATTTGGAAAATTGAGTTACAGAAGACTTATTGTTAATCAGTCTTGGGGTGAATATTCGAAGAAGTGGCGGGACGTGACGAAAAGTTAGCACCGCCATAAAGTTCTTTTGCGCAGGGTAATCACTTAGTTACACGTAATGTGCAAGGATTGTGATTGACTGTCTTGACACTTGAGTAGCCGAGGTGAAGTTCTAACGCAGGTTGAATACCTAAACCCACTGATTCATAACTCCACCATAACTCGATAAGTGAGGATGTGTACTTCAGTGGTATATGGTTTCTTATCTACTTTTTATAAATTACAATCTGCTTTGCTTGGGTAAAATAGAGCCACTTACTGTGGATCTTTCATTCACCATATAGATTATCACAGTATTGTATTATGTGTATGCCAGTAAATGCCTTATACAACGAAATATTGAGTACGGAGTTTTATTATTATTTACTAAATTTTCTAAAAGCATGGAATTTGTATACAAAAAGTTGAAATTAGTAACTTATGAGTAAAGCGATGCTTGATTCCGTACAGTTTCAATGTTAACTCACTTTAACCGCTTCAATCGAACGAATTTCAAAATTTTGAATGCTATCGCTACACCGGTGTTTTTTTGCTTCACTTCAGTTTGTTTTCTTGTCCTAAAATTAGTTTGTCAATCAATAGAATCTTTGCTACTGTAAATACCTACTCATCTTTCCATTATCCTCAGAATGACAGTATTTATTATCCGATAAAGAGATTGTTTTCCTGCTTATACTCTTATGCAATGATTCTTATTAGTTGTGTCACACATATACACATATATTTCAATATTGCTTATTCGCCTTTGTTTTCTGTGAATATTTCCATCGTTTTCATCTCTTTGTCTCTCTATCTCAAAAAATGAGTAAATGAATTAAGCCTGAAATTTACTTACATCTTTGGTTGGTTGCTTTTTCCTAAAATCTCTAGAATTGTGGGTTTGTGTTCGCTTCCATTTACATGATTACTTCCTTTATGTGTGAAGGTATGGTTCACCGAACAAGTGAATTATGAGAATGTTAGCTTCATATGCTCTCGTGGTTGTTTGTCTTTATTTGTCTACTTGTCTTATCCACCCCTCTTTCATCGCCCCCAGTATTTTGGTGTACCAACACTGTTCGTCTCACTCAAAGCTAAACAACACTACGTGAGCGAGGTTTAGTGGTTAGTCGATACACTCCAAGTTGTCTAGTTTCTAGGGCTAGCCGTGTGTGTGTGTGTGTGTGTGTGTGTGTGTGTGTGTGTGTGTTCGTTCGCGTATTCGCCTCCTACTAACTGCTCATGTTTATTTTATTTGGTCAAATCACACATCCACAAATCTGCACACAAAATCCTGTAGTTCGAGCTCCCCTTCTACCCCCACTTTATTCTCAGTTGCTTGTTTTCTCCGATATCTAGAACGAATGTTAACTGGTTAAAAGACAATTACTGCTTGAAAGGAAAATTTTGTTATGCAGATAAGTTTTCCTCGTCATTGTTGTTATTTTCACTGAATTGAGATAGGCTTCACTCTTTTTCTTTCTTACGAGCTGTTTTTCTCCCTTCTCTCTCTCTCTTTCCCGTTTCGCGAAGCGGAACTGATGGATTATCTTGTGAGTAGCAGTAGTTATTGTGCTTTTGCATGAATGGAGATGAAATCAATCTATTTTCTTCCGTATAGGCTTTTGTGAAGATGCATATACATATACGTCATCTGCATTGTCGATCTCTGTGTTAGTTTATCACTCTCGGTGGTTGAGTTTTTATGCGCATATTTATCAGATCACTTTTTCATCTTTCTAGGGTATTCATAAAGATTCTTTTACTGAGGTAGTTGACATATAGCCGGTTGATTTATCTCTTCCTAATTAGTTTGTAACTATAATTGTAATCTCTATTTTAACTGGTTATTGTATTCATATCTGGATACTTCCTCCCCATAGTTACAGGGAAAACAGATTCGTTGTTATCGCTTTGAGTGATTGCGATCTAATTTTGTTTTTCGATGTTTTAAGTACCGTGAGGCGTTGTGGCAGAGTCTGATTGTGAAGGGATTACCGAGCGAGTATATAATGCTTACCAAAGCTCTTTACTGGAACTCACACAGGGGCTTATAGTGAGTTGTCATCGAAATTGATGACAAATAGTGATGTCTGCCAGAGATACGCACTATCACCGTCCTTATTCAACTTCGTCAAAGACATAGTAATGGACATAACCTTAGATACTTGTGACCTCACAGGGATTGATCTACTCCTTGGAGGCCATCCGGTTGATTTGGAGCATGCAGACGAGATTGTTCTGCTAAGTGAATACGCTGACAAAATCCATTGTCCTCTGAACGCCTTGAGCAGAAATCGGAGTATGTTTGACATGCGTTCCGTGCCTGTAAAATGTAAAATGATGTCCCATCACTGGTTAGCTGCAATTACTCTCAATTTAATTTGACTTAAGTGGTGGAATGCGTCAACCATCTCATTTACTTGAGGAGTTGTTACATCAGCTCGGACGGAGTGGTTACTGACGAAATCTAAGCTCGGATACAGAAAGTCTGTTTGGCACTCGCCAATTTGCGTCATCTCTGGCGCCGACTGGCAAGATATTAGGCTATCTATCGAAGGACGAGTATCATGTTCTGCAGTCTGTCCTGTCCTGTTGTACGGCAGTGAGACATGGTTTTAAAAGTAGAAGTCATGAAGCGATTACTGGGTTTTGGTCATAGACATCGTAGTATTCCCGGTGCTTGGTGGAATCACCGTGTAAGCAGTGTTGAGGTCTGGAGACTGGTACTAAGCAAAACAGGCAAGTCAATTGATGAGGCTGTGAACCTTAGTTGACTGAAGATGGTGTAGACATGTACTGTGTATGCCGAGTCACCGCTTACCTTTACATGCCATGCTAAGAGAGGCTGAATTAGTTTGGAAAAGGGTTCAGAGCGACCATACTTAGACATGACACCAGTCTGTGAAATCTCTTACTGTTGGCCTGAGGCCTGTGGAGAGATGTAGACTGCCTCGTTTGGGTCCTCGAGACCAAAGAATCCAGTAGTTGAGGTCTCTTGGTGACATGGCTGAAATCGGTCACAATGGAGCAGGTGTATTAATTCTCTGACATTTTCTAAAGCTTGAGTATTTGCACTAACCTTTATCTTCCAATTTTCTATTCTCTCACACGTATTCTATCCACGTATTTTTTGTATACTACCGTAAATTTCGGCAACTTGAACCGATGCACGTGTGTGCGACATTCTGTGTTGGTTTGGTCCGTCGGTCTGTTTTAAGTATACTTTCATTGAATCACAGTGACAAAGCTGTCCAACTTTCTTGTTTACGACGAAATTCGGTCAGTATTGAGGACTAGACAGTGTGACACTGATTTCCTGCCAGTGATCATTCAATATACATTCTCGTCACTTGTTCTTCAGAATATCAGTTGCAGCCTGGATACTTCAGTGGTAATCCCTCTGATTGCAGCGCTAGGTAACACGAGTTGGGATCTTTAAGGGAACAAAAATTCTCCCTGTTTGGCAATATGCTCTGTTTCTGAACACTAACTAGCATAAAACATAAGTCTGGAACTTTTTGCTGGTTATGTCCATCCATTCAATACTAAGCACAACAGTTATGCACTTCACAGCTTCAAAATCGATCAGTAGCACTTGAAATTGGTAAACAACATTTGTCACTTCCTATTGACAGATCAATATATGCCCATTATATATATATATATATATATATATATATATATATATATATATATATATATATATATATATGGATGTTTACCTGGTCGAACTCTAAGGTCTTCTTACTAGACTTGGTGTGAAGAAGTTATCTTTTCATTGACCTTCATTCATCATTTTTATAGCAGTGGGAACTTCATTTGGTAATATATTGTTTAATTCAATACTATATCTATCCCACTGGTTTTCAGGGGATGTCGGGGTTTTTTTTCTTTAGCAGTAGTTAGTCTTGGGATCTTGTTTCACAAACTTGTTCTAGATACTTTTAAACCTACTTATTAATTTAAATTTCATTCCTATAGAGTTTTAAAGTAACATATTGTCATATTTCATGTTTTCCAAGTCAAACTTGTCACTATGTTTTTAATCGGTGTAAAGTGAAGTAAGTGAATTGTTGCCGCAACGAGTGTATCGTGATCACTTGTCTTACAAACGCTATAAACAATTAAATCGTTTAGCGTTATGCGATCTGCATTCCTTACAAATCATCTGTAGATCACATTCATGGTGTTTTGATCTTTTACTTGGCACAGAGTTGTTTCGAAAGTTTTCTCACCTTTGCATTTCCAAACATCATTTAAGAGCATTGTGATTAGTTGTGACTGTTCACATGGACATCTGACCCATGGTCTGAGTTTATATTTGATCAAGTCATGATTAGGAGTGATTTTAAAGACCACCCTAAAAACTGCTGAGATAACCAATCACGTTTCTTTATTTTGTGAAAAATTAACTTCCTAACCGAAATATCAAAGTCAGATTGGTTATTTCAGGAGTTGTTAGGGTGCCCTTTAAAGTCATTCATATATATCCGACGGTATTCTCATTTTTTATTGTTGTTCTGTCACTGAGAAATACAGTAATTCTACTGGCTGTCTTGAATACATCTGAGTTTACACTACTGTATGACCGAAACTGAACTCGTCTGTTACCTGTTTTGGCTACGTCCTAAAATATACAAATTACAATTACAATCCTTGTTCTCCCTGTCATTCTAGGGAACCCTAAGTGAGAATTATTCAATTCATTATTCAGTTCCAAGGACAACATAATAATATTCGAAACGAGTTGTGTATGATACATTTCCGATAGATGTGCTTCTGTAGTTAGGACACCTCAGGAAAACTGTTTATACTTTGTTACCTTTAAATAAAACCATGGCCCTTACCTGAAGTCTACGCTTAGCCGCACAATTTTCATTTCATTTTCATGTTTTATTGGCGTATTATTAGATTTGTTTGGACTGCCTATTTGGAGGAGGGAGGTGGGGGCGGGGATGTATTAAGAATCCATGGTTGTAAATTGTTGGTGACATTGGTGAAAATCGGTTAGAGTGGTGCAGATAAATTAACTCGGACATCTTCGAAATTCGGAATATTTTAACCAAGAAAGTTAGTGACAAAGATAGTGTCTGATTCTTCCTTCCCTTCTCACAACCTTTTTCGTTATTCCTTTATCTTTAATCTTGATGCATTCTCGACTGATGTGCTGATATGAGGTGTGGCAACTCAGACCGTTACGCAGAGATACTAGTTTCCATGTTGATATTGGCTGACGTATTGTCTAATTTCCTATGTTCTATAATCATTGGACAGCTTGAGAACAGCAAACTCGAGAAAATCAAGCAAGCTCCAAATCTGACCACAGATTCACTTCCAATCAGGTCATAAAACACAGGCACAGTTACATACACCCGACACCAGCTGTATTGCTCAACCTGAATTGACATTCGACTCCTTCGAGTTACAGGTTTTACCTCAGTATCTCTCACTCAAAGGCGTTCCAGTTAAGCATATCACCCCATTGAACGGTCTGTATTCGAACATCTGTGAGAGTTGTATGTCTGTGATGAGTTATCCGGCGAGTTGTGTACATCGACCACTGTCTATCAGGGTTATCCATTCTCTTTATTCTTATTTGAATTTGTTATAGACGTTCTTATTGAAGATTCCCTCTTGTTGTCTGACTTATGAAGATTGATCTTGTCACAGGAGACTTCTTAGTAGATCTAGAATACCCAGATGATGCTTTACGAGGTTCAGAATTTACTGGGCACCTTAAGTGGTACTTCGCAAATGTTTGAGATGCGTTTCTCAGCATTCCAATGGTAATTGTTGCCCCAGGACTAGGCGTCAGCGGCGCTCCAACTAACAGTCGAGAGTGGAGTGGTTGGATGTGTTGACCATTTTATTTACTTAGGAGGTCGGACCATCCCTGGAGGGTCAGTGTCTGATGAAATCTCTCGACGGATACAAAAGGTTCGATTGACTTTCGCCAAGTTACATCACTTATGACGCCGCCGCAATATCTGATTGTCTATTAAAGTTCGAGATTACTGTGCTACAGTTTGCTCTGTCTTATTATGTGGCTATGAAGCATGACAGCTAAATGTAGGGGGCCTGAGAAGGCTTTAGGTATTTGACCAACATCGCCTTCGTAGCACAGGCCATGTCTTGGTGCGACCATATCAGTGATGCGGTTCAGGCTTATATTTATAGGTGGAAGAGGAAGTCCAACTGGTGAAAATATTAATCTTAATGAATTCAGATGTATAGGACATGCTACACATACCTAGAGTTACTTTCTGCCCTGTCGTGCAATGTGAGCAGAAGTAGGTTTACTCTGGAAAAAGGCTTGTGACATCCAGACTGAAACATGGCATTAGTCATTGAAGTCTTTAGTCTCCGTTGTGAGTCGTTTAGAGGTATGTAGACTTCCCAGTCGGGGTCCACATGACAAGAGAAACCAGCGGCTGAAAACTAGGTAACATGGCTCGGAATCAATATTAGTGGTGCAAATGTATCCGCATATTATCTTCATCTTAATCCTCATATTGAATTCAGTATTCTCACATTCCTTCTTGTTCTCTTTCTACAACTTTCTACTACTTTTGACTGCTTTTTCTCTTATTTCTCTATCTTTTATTTTAATGTTTTCTGGTTAAGTGTGCTTATATGAAGTATAGCAACATAGGTCATTACATAATAATGCTAAGTATAACTTTGAACCTGATCAACTGTCATTTGCACTTTTGTGTATTTTGGTATTACTTTTTTATCTAATTGTCATTTGCATTCTGGTGTAAAGTGTGACTACTTGACCCTATGCTATTCCGTGCTATTTTCTATATTGAATTGTCTATTTCTTCGGATTGCGTAGCGACTTGTGATTATCAAGGTTAATGCGTTCATGCTTTCTTAATGAAATTTCTCCATGCATATTGATTATCAAAGCCAGTGCTCATTGGTGATAGCTAGCTACTAACGGTTACTCATTAGTTCTCAAAATTATGGGGTCCATTTCTCTCTTATCTGACTAGTCAATGTTTACTGATGCAAACAAAATTATCCTTTAAAAGAGTATCGCTTCAAGAGTTCAGCTTTCTTAGAGATGGATTCAAAAAATCTGCTGAGTAGATATATTCCACTTACCGTAGAGAGTTTGTTTCACATTCGTTTTTTAAACTTTGGTGTTTCATCTCAAGTTTTTTTCTCCGGCAATAGCCAAATGCTTTTCAAGCTGTGGATTCGAATCTTGCCACGATTTGGTTTTCGCCTCACCTTCAATCACCACTCCACAATAATAATATAGGTTTATTGTGGGTTACTTGTTAATCTCTTCAAGGCGGTAGAAAAACATAGCAAACTAAGAAAACTGAATTACTGCAGTAATACTCTTGTACAGGTAATTTAATTCTCATGAGTAAGCATTGATGTGTTAATTATAGAGGGAAATGGACTCCGTATCCTATGCCAACGACATCGACATGACCATTTTAGAGTAACATAAGTTCAGTAGGAATATCAGATACATCTGGTAGATCTGGGTGTTTCTCAGGATGCTGTTCTACTTAGTGAGTGAGATAAATCTCATCAGATCAGTTGTATATCGTCGAATAATTCAACTCAAAGTGTTCGCAATTATTTGAACTTCGCCCAAATTTATAGTATGAAAAGCAATGGAAGGGGGTTATTTGATTTTAATGAATTTAAAAAAAAGGTTTATGCCGATTTCTCTTCTGGTTTTTCAGATCAGAGTTGGTCATCATAAGATGCAACCTGTATCATCTATGGATTACACATTTCTTTTCTTTCTGTCTTATAGAGTCGCCCTAAACACCAAACCTAACAATTACCAGAAGACTACAAATGTATATGATTATTTGTATTTTACTATTCAAAGAAATATCTTGACACACTTGTTCTTTGATAAAGCAATATAAAAAAAACATCTTTTGAATCGATTTACTGTGTTGTTTTCTCTTCGCCATCATTTATTATCTAACTGACTGTCCCTCTAGGGTATTCGCACCGCTGTAGAGTTTATGATGTGTTCGTTTGATAAACTGTTCCTATGTTGTTGCGCACTTCACAGAGGTTTCTTGTTACACTGAAATTTGTAGATGTTAGTAATATATTTATCAACATTCGAATGTATCGGCTGAACTTTTTTAGTTGTCAGTTTTACTTTTAATCCGCTGCATTAATTGGTAATTAACATTTTATACTGCTCTCAATAATAATAATTATTATTATTACTTGTCTCTTGGGTTCCTAATGGAACATAGGGCTTGAGTAGCACGTCCTCAATGCGCTCTGTTCTCTGAAATCTTCTAAACCTGGCTACACGACAGCCCACAAGTTCTCATTTCCTCCTCGCACGATCTCCTCCATGTCACCCTTGGATGTCCAACTCGTCGCTTCCCATCTGGGTTCCATTCGAGGGCCTGACGCATGATGTCCCCAGTCGGCCTTCTCAGTGTATGCCCAGTCCAATCCATCTCCACTTCCTTCTGCATATTTGTTGAGCAATGGGTTCTTGGTTAGTTCTTTGCCAGCCAGAGTTCCTTGTTGCTTATTCTTATTATTCTGGCCATCTGATCTTCAGTATACGAGCCAGCGTAGGCAGTTGTTGATGAATGATGTCTGTAGTTCGTAACGCGCCAAGTCTCTGAGCCGTACAGAAGCACTGACTTGACGTTGGTGTTGATAATCCGGATCTTGTTCTTAATGCTGAGTGCAGAAGATTTCCACACTGGTTTCAGGTTAATGAACGCCTGTCTTGCAGTCTTTCCGATCTTGGCTGCCTTTGACGTCCTCGTCTGTGCCACCACCTGTAGTTGAAACAGTGCTGCCTAGATAGGTGAAAGAGACTACTTCCTTTAAGTTTCTCCCATTGATGGTGATTGGAATTTGTTGTTGTTGTTGGTTGGGTATCTTCATCACCTCTGTCTTCTCTTTATTCACTTGAAATTCTATCTTTGCTGCCCTGCCTGCCTCTTCTGTCAACTTGTCAGTTTTCGCCTGTAGATCTTCCAGTTTGTGTGACATTAGACATAAGTCATCGGCGAAATCCAGATCTTCCAGGTTCTTTTCTGCAGTCCAGCCAGCGTATCCCCTCTTCTCGCTCCCTACTGTTTGTTGCATGATCCAGTCGACCACAATCAAGAATATCATGGGTGATAGTAGGCAGCTTTGTTTCACTCCTGTCTTCACTTCAAAAGCATCACTGAGCTGAGCTTCCCATTGTGAATTACTTAGCATGTGGCATCTTCATATAGTTGTTGAATGAGGAGGATAAAGGTTTGTGGTATTCCGTATTATTGAAGCAGCTTCCAAATTGCCTCTCGGTCGACGCTGTCAAAGGCCTTTTCAAAGTCGATGAAGTTGAGGTAGAGAGTCTACTGCCATTCTATACTCTGTTCTCTGATGATGCAAAGCGTTGCAATTTGATCCATACATGATTTGTACTTCCTGAAGCCAGCCTGTTCCGGTGGTAGTTTTGAATCCAGCTCATCCTTTAGTCTCTCTAGGATGATGTGGCTTAATATTTTGCTTGGGGTGGACAGGGAGGGAGCATGATTAAGCGCCAGTTCTTGCAAGGACTTAGGTCTCCCTTCAGGAGTTTGACAAGATAGCCTTTCTTCCAATCAACCGGCATGTACCTTCTCTTCCTTCCAGACCTTCTGCAGTAGTGGTGTGAGCGTGTCCGTTGTAGTTTCTGCGTCTGTTCTCAGTGCTTCTGAAGGAATTCCATCTGGTCCTGCTGCTTTTCCGCTCAGGACTTCGACTTTTGTTGGAGGATTTATGTTCACTTGTAGTTCTGTGGCTGGGCTGCAGGTGGTGGTCGATTCAACAGTTTGTTGAAGTTGCCAGCTCATCATTTCCTTTGTTTCTCTTCTTAGTAAATAAATTTCCTCCATCATGTTTTAACGGTTTCATCTGTGTTGATCTCTTGCCTGCCAGGTAGTAACCTGGTTATTTGGTACAATTTTGTCAGGTCTCTCCTACCTGCAGCCTGTTCCACTTCACTTGCCAATGTGTCGTAGAAGTGTTTTTTGTCTTTGCGTGCACTCGCATTCACTTCTTTGTCCAGTGTAGTGTTTCATTCATTGTACTCAGTTCCTCTTGTCGTTGTTCATCCTTGCACTGGTTTATCTTCTGCTCCACCATCCTCCTCTCCCTGCTCTATCAGCTTCCATATGTCCGTTGAGATCCATTCCTTATCTTCTTTCTTCTTCCTTCCTAATGCGGTTATGCAGGTTTCTTTAAACGTCTCTTGCAAAGAGTTTCAGTGTTCTCCCACACAGGTTTCTTCAGGGATGTTGCTCGATATCTCTCATTTTGTCTCGATGGCTGAAGTGAAGATGTTCTTTGTTATTTCATCCCTCAGTTTCCGAGTGTTGTGCTTGAACGGCGGTGTATCACCAGCTTTCCTGAAGGCTTTCAACTTGATTTGGAAGGTTCCTTGCACTGGATAGTGTGTGGTCTGTTCCTACATCCGCTCCTCTTCTTGTCCTTGTGTCAAGTAGACTGCGTCTCCACTTTTTCGAGATGAGGTCGATCTGATTTTTAGTGTAGTGTGTCCTGGTGTCTTGTGAAATCCATGTCGCTTTGTGGATATCCTTGTGTTTGGACACACTGCCTCCAATCACCAAATCGTTGAATGCACAGAATTCTGCAAACAATTCTCTATTCTCGTTCATCACCTCACCGAGCGCTTCTCGACCCATGGTTAGTTCTCTCCCCGTGTTTTCCACTCCCAGTTTGGCATTCATGTCGCCCAATAGAATTTTGATATCGCCAACTGGGCTGAGGTCTTGTCCAGTGTTGATTGCAGTTGTCTGTAGAATTCCTCTCTCACTTGATCAGCCTCTGTATTATTTGAAGGTGCATAGCACAGCATTGTATGATTGTGACCTTCCTTCCTTTTGAGTTGAATCCATCTTGCTGTCATGATCCTGGTGGCTGCCTTGCTAGGTTCAAACATGGTGCGAACACTCCATGTCCTCACTTGTACTTTCGCTTTCATCGAGAGAAGACACATCGGCCAATTGGCTTCCTGAAGGCTTTCACCAACCGGCATCATTTCGCCTCTCCGATTCCAGCGAGGAATAATTTTGTTTTTATTTTTTACATTTTGTTTGTGCTTTGAAGTTTGTTTAGCGGTTAGATTTGTTTTACGGGTTAGAGTTGCTAGCCCTATGCCCAACCTTCCCTCTTTACCTGGGCTCAGGACCGGCTAGTAACTAGTTAACCAGGCGAGGTTGCTCTCAATAATAGGCGTATATATTCATCATTTTTTGATCTAATCTTAGTAATTACCGATCCTTGTTCGCGATTTACAGATTTTCTGTTTGCTACCAAAAATTACTGGTAGTGGATTAATATCAGTTAATCGTTTGACACTATGGAAAGACAAATTATGTTGAACTTAATATTGTGGCTAGCAGTGAAGTCTGGGACGCGCGTTTTGTCCTACTTGAGACTCGTCAGCCGGATGTCCCTACACCCTAGTTAACTCCGTATAATTCCGTGGCTCTTTCAGTTACCGCATTTTCCACCAATGTCTAAGAGAAGTCGACAAGAGGGAAAATAAAGAAATAATATTAAGGGTTTTTAAAAAAAAAAAAACTCATGATAAAAAATTTTAAAGCATGTGATACTCATGATAGCATTTCCAAGATATGGTCTAAGATAAGGTATGCATGTATACAGGTACAATCGATTGTGAGACATGTTAGCTATAGATTTCAACACTGTAAATTCAGTCAGCTACCACATACATCAACTAAGAAACCTACATCATTAACACCAATGGTCAGAGGCTTTTTGTGTTTGTGTTACACCTGCTCTGTGAATCGTTTTTCTTATTTGACTCCAGTTATCACAGTATTTCTGTAAATACCTGGCAGGTGTACATAACATGCCTTAGACATTTAATTAGATGAGTGATCATAGCCCCTCTCTGATACTTAACTCCTAATTTATGCTTCCAAATTGCATAGACATTGCTACACTGGTCAAATACCTGTAGCTTTCTCAGCTCCCCACATTTTATAATCATGTTCCACAGTTATGTAATAGGACACGGTATTGTATCTAATACCTAGTAGCTTTAGGTCATTGGGGCCATAATCATAGAGACATAGGTTGGTCAAAGTTGGTTGAGCCTTTTGTATTTGTGTCAAGATTTTAACTCACATGGTTTGTTACATCTGAAACAAGGGATTTAGTTACTGTACTCACGTACTTCTCTCCCGACTGAGTAATAGGTTATCTATGTAAATCAATTAAGTAATGATTTCTAATTTGGAAGTTATAAAAGTATGTTAGACACGATTATATTTTCGCTCAGAATGTTCATGTTGCTATATTCTTTAAGTATCTTTACCGAATAAAATTACTTGCTCAGCGCCCCCCAACGCTGATCAAGGCATATCCAGAGGAATGATTAACCACTTCGAAGTCTAAAGACGAGAAATTAACTCTTATGAGTGAGTATGTCTTTGGCAAAGTTAAATGAAACTGGATCTCATACAAACCACTTTGGTCAGCATTGTGTGACGAGGCAATCGGAGACTGGGCATACGTAACATGTGTCCCGAGCATCTCAGCCGATGAAGGTTCATAACCTCGTCAACTAATTTACCTCTTCTCCCTAAAACTACACCTGACTTCTACGTTACTCACGTGGTGACACCACAGATACGGCTTATACTACGAAGGCAACGGTGGCCAAACACTTGAAGCCTTCTCATGTCTTCCACCTTCGAAGGCCATGTTTCACAGCCATACAATAGAACAGACCGAACTGTTGTGCAGGTGCAGTACAAGCGACCCTTAATAGACAATCGGATATCACGGTGGCGCCATAGGTGGCGTAAGTTGGCAAAAGCCAACCGAGCCTTTTGTATTCGTGCAGAGATTTCATCGACCTCTGAGCCACTAGGGCAAGGCTGAACCTACTCCCCAGGTAAGTGAAATGGTCGACACACTCAATCACTACACTCTCTATTGTCAACCGCGGTGGGGCACCGTTGAAGACTAGTCCTGGAGCAACAATTTGCATTTGGGTGGTGAGGAACGCATCCCAAACACTGCCATAAGACTTGTCGATCGATGGAATCGAATGCCGCCTTCAGGTCGAGAAATACAGCTGTTGTCAGGCCTCGGTAAGCGTGTCTGTGTTCCAAAACCTGGTGCAGTTTAAATATTTGGTCGATACACTTGCGCCCGGGTCTGAAGCCTGCCTTGTTTTCTCGGGTTTGATGTTCCCGAGCT